ACATAATTATTTATAACATACAGTATGTTAAGAATAATTGTGGCACTTTATTGATTGAATTAAGGCAGTTATTATAATGAAGCTCATATTCATTTATTTAAAAAAAGTGATACCCCCAAAATACTGTATTTGCTATTTGCAAAGGGATAAATATTTACATATTTAGCTGTGCCCTCCACTACAGGCTTTGTACTCTATATCTACTGGTATTCAAAATCAATGATCAATACAATGACTGTAATCTATTAAAGATGCATGTACACGTAGACAGACATGCATTTTTCAAGAAGAAATGGTAAAAGAAAGAAGAATCATCACTCAGAGGTAATTACGCATACATGTAATATAATTTTGTAGCTCAATGCACACATTATAATCATATTTCACAACTGTTCAATAACTGCTTCTTTCTTTTACACAAATTTCCAAGAACTCACTTGTTGCAAGTGTACCTGCGTAGGCGTAAATGACGTTAACACTTTTATATTCCAAACCTTTGTCTTTTCATTAGCTCATTATTAATTTTGATCGCGAATAGAAGAAAAATAGCCAGTGCTAATGGGTGTTTATTCTCTCACTTTCCCTGAGCTGCCTGCATACATGCCCTATTCTACCACCATTCTATCAAGGACATCTTCACAGCCTGCGAGAAACGTCTGCACAGAGATAATATAGAAGGTGCAGAAAACTGGCGATACGAGAGACAGTCAGCACATTATGAATATTTAATGAGAATTGATTACTCTCTGCTCTCCCTCTCTCTCTCTATTTTCCTCTTTTCTTTGTGCTTCATTGGTTCCTTGGTGAATGAAGGAGTGGCTACTTGTATACCAGCCTCAATGCCCTTGTTTGGGTCGATGGAAGCCACAAGAGGTTAATACCACAGGTTAATACCTGTAGAATGTAAAGCCAAATTGAAACAAGGCAATGTTTCATGAAGCAATCAGAAATTGTTGCTTTTACAAAGGTTTATTCTTTTAATCTAAAAAGAAAGAATACATTGGATGTCTTCAATATATTGTTAGTCAACAATTGAACATCTTTTTCATCTTTAATGTATCCCTGTGATTCCTGGATTTTAAAGTTCATAACATTTTGCAGGCTTGCTCAATTTACAGTTTGTCCTGTACTTCTAAAAAACACACAACAAAAAACAAAAGGAATGCCACTGAATAATGAAATACATGTAAATAGCTCTCAGAAATGCTTCATACAGTGTACACAATATTCTAAAAGAAGCATAGATTATTGTACTTCACCTTGATATTTCTCTAGAACTTCTCTAGAACTGAGCATAAATAATGTGCAGCTCCATCTGTTGAACTAGTATGTTAATATTTGAACATTCATTTGTGACAGCGTAACTATGGTTCCCTATTGGCCTCATGTTCGCTCCTTCCACAGGCGTCAAGTCAATAATCAGTATCAACAAATGGAAACATATCCAGCAGACATTTTCTGGACTAGGCTTTTTATTTGTACACCTGTCTTTCAGGTTTGAGGATTACCCAATTACCCCATAGTAGGTCCATCGCACACACCGGCTAAGAATAGGTACCTGGACAACAGTAAACAAAGCGCGACCTTTGCTACTACATTCTCATGAGCTTGTACAAATGAATCATTTCATTGTATTCTATGTACCCTTTTTCTTCTATAAGATCTAGAAGTTTGCCAACTGTGAAGTGGTCTTCCCTGCTCCCGAACACCAAGTAAATATGTGTGAAGATGCTCTAAAAGAAACTAAATACACTGTAAATGTCACCTACATAGAATCTCTACAAGGAGATTTTGTTTAATGTTACAAGGCAAATACTGTTCCTGTTGTCAGATACATTGTTGTACGCAAGTGCGTGCTGCTTCTCAAATACGTGTTCATTGGAAATTTTCACAAATTCGCTCTTATTAAAGATTCAAAGGAATCTCTTGGCCTATTTGGAAGACATGATATTCTTGGCATTTTCATATTTAAAAAAAAAAAAGTAGACTAACAGACTAGAAAAAAATAACGGAGCTTGAAATAGTTATAACTGTAACAGGAGTCTGAGGAGATAAAACAGGCAAGTTCAAGGAGATGAAAATGAGATAATATTAAATACAAGAGAGTACACTTTAATTATCAGTATCACAAAGAAATTTACAATGTATCTGTCCATCATATAACAGGCTGTAAAGAAAAGTTACATGTAGACCATATTTACTATCACTAGCTCCAGCTTAGTACTAGAAGACCTGTAGTATATGCTTGCAGTATTTCCAATAGACCTGTATTGTAGTCTAAAAACGATTTTAACAAACAAATCAATGTTATTTATTAATTTATTTGTGGAAGCTCCTTTGATATTGTAAAATATGTTTTAATAACATCTTCTTAGTTTTTTTTTCTTCAGCAAAGTTCTTTTAGAGCTTCCTAGAGTTGAATTGCTTTTCATACCAGTGTATTTGTTTTACTATCATATTGAGCATCTAAGGCATTCAAGGAATTTCCATATGCCAGCAAGACATTTACCACACACCTGGGTCTAGAGAGATAACTGGAGATAAAATACTTCAATACTTCATTTCAGGCTATGAGGGATGGTGTTCAAAGACAGGACTACACCAGTACAAAACCAATTAACTACATTTTATAGAACTTTGAATACAATACCATTCCTTCAAAAACCACTTCAGATTCAAAAGGCAAACTTACCGTACAATAAGGCCTGTCCTCATCAGCTCGAGTTTGCCAAATAACCCGCTATTTTCAGACTCGGGATATTATCCCGAAGCTCGAAATTGCGTCTTCACCAGACGATACACTCATCACAAACAAGCTAGGACTGGCGCAAATTAGCCCGCTATTTCCCAAATATTTTGGAAACAGGACCAACATTTCTAGGGAAATTTTCTCAACCAAATATCCAGCTAATTACAACTGTGCGCTGATGAAGACGCAAATTAACTGATTAATTTGCGATCGCGATAGTTAAAATAGCAGGTTATTTGGCAAACTCAAGCTAATGATGACAGGCCTTATATGTACAGTACAAGCCCTAAGTTTTTACAACAAATTTTCAACAACTGTTGGGTAACCAGATCTGGTGCTGAAGCACGACCAGACTTTTCTCTGAATATGAGACTTTCCCTTTGGTCATTTTATGTGTGCACTTAATTGGCCTACATCTTCAGGCAGATCTGCACCTAATTGAACTCTATATACATTTAAATTGAAGTCTTGCTGAGGGTGCTTTGATGTCGTGTGGAGATAACATCTCGTCCCCTACCTCAACATGTACACGTAGTAATAAAGTTTGACTCTTGGTCTTGCGCAATGAATGGAGAAACAAAAGACAAAATGGGAAATAGAGGTTAGATACGGAGAAAAGGTTTATTGGTGTGGAAAAGGGAGAATAAGAGATTTGGGTAGAGCTATGGACTGCATGGAGGAAAGGAAACGACCTGACAAAGATATTGATTTTGAAGCTAATCAAGTTATGAAACTAGCCATTCGGTTATTATGAATCTGATGGCATTGCTAATGTGAGTCAATATGAACACCTCCAGAGATAAAGCAATTATGAGCCTGACTTTAATTATGCTTATTCATCCAGTCGTAGACGTAAAGAATTCATGCTATTACCTTTCCTACGTCAATCTTTCCCGGCAAGGTTATCTGCCGAGCTGCTCTCTGGCTCTTCGCCCGACCATCTCTCATTTTAAATTGGGATGTTGAAGTGGAAGGTCGGTGATATTGATCATAATCGAACATGATATATGGGTCAGGTTGTTACTTGTATAGAATGAGAGTTCTCTCCTTGAATCAAGCTTCAAGAACACTGGCGGCAATTACTCACTGCTCCAGCCTCATAGAATGCATGTATGTGCGCTGAGTGGCATGCACGTTCCAATAAATGTTCAGGATGAAAATGTGCAATTTTTTATGCAAAAGCTGTCATTGAATACACGTACAATGTATGTCTATCCTACCTGACTTAGACAGTTCGAAATCAATAACATGTCTGTAATGTTTTTAGTCTCTGAGTACTTGCATAACCTAGGGTGCATTCTAACTTTGTAATTTCTAAAAAAATTGTATAAACTTTGGAACCACAAATTTAGACAAGTAGAAATATTTCACAACATATGGATAGGAAAATTATAATGGCAGACACTCTCACAATATCAAACTTTCACAGAGTGCAAATTTCGGAGTTGTGATTCAATAATTTCAACCTATAGCAGTCTGTGCAGTTTCATACATGGAAAAATATCTTGTTTTACAGGAGACAGTGAAAGGGATTCAAATTTGGCTCATGAGGATCCCACAATACACCCCAGCAAGAGACATTGAAATTTCTCCCCCAGATGTTTATTTTTTTCATCAGATCTCAACATTTTGCAATGGTGTTAAAATAATAATAATAATAATAATAATCTGAATTAATATAGCATTCAATACGAAATACCATCTTTAACGGTTTACAGATATTATTAACCCGGTCAATGTATTAATTCACGTCCAATGTGCACCATCTCCACTCCCTGGGGAGTATTCCTACTATATGGTAAATGTGAGGTCATATGCTAATTACTAACACAAGGGCTTTCACCGTCCTACCATGTCCCCATTTCTCTTCTACATGTACTGTATGCATGGAGTGACAAATATAGATTAATGCCTTGCCAAAGGACATAAGTGTCATGTCGGGATCGAACCTTCCATCTTTGAATTTCAATTCAAGTGCTTTAACCACTCAACTCCGACACCTTCTAAACCATCTTTGAGTTTGATTCAAATGTGTTATGAAGTATGTAAGTATGTATGCAAGTCATGATAAGCTTAGTAAATAATGAGTACCATAAATTGAACTTTGAGCCTCTGAACATTCATGTTCCATTGGATTTCACCCTTTATCCAAGATGATTTTTACCAAAGTTGCAGAAAATATATACATGTATATGTAGCAATGTGTTCTGAAATAATGATTTGAATGATTTTTATCTTCTCTGCTTCTCAGAAACGTGAGGAGCCTGGGATAAGACGACCGCCTATCAAAGCTCGAAATACATGGAACGGAGGGGAAGATGTGTGGGACAATGCTAGACGTAGTCACAACAACCTTACTGATATGGGATCTGACCAAGGTTCAGGTAAACACCTTTTATTCACATCAGTATAAAATGATTTTATAACTAGAGATATGTAACACTCAAATATAAAGATTTTTTGTCCTGCAGCATGAATATTCTTTAAATAAATTCAATGATGCCCTACTCAATTCGAACCATAGAAAATCTGTCAGTGTTCCTCTATATACATGTATGTCCCTCAAAAAGAAAACCTGATTCATAAAAAAGTGATATTTAGAATTTTTTTTGTGCAAAACAAATTTAACATTTCAATATGTTGACAGAAAGAACTCAAGTTTATCTTAAATCATAGTTTTCATAAGTAATAAATTGTCCATTAATTTATAGAGATTCCCTTATTTGATTTTGATTTTGATAATTTTTCACAAATTTCATTATTCTGTCTTTTCTCAAAATAGGTATACACATTTTATAAGTTTTTACCCCAATTCCATGGAGACAGTTTACTGTCAATATTTGGTTTGCCTTTAAAAAAAAGTGAAATGAGTGATCAATTATTTTGTCTCCTCTCTTTGGATAAAAGAAATATAGGAGCTAATGGGCTTACATGAAACTTCCCACTTAGAAGGAGTTTGCACACTGCAAATCCATTTTTTATGATACACTTACCATAATTGGTGTATTCGAAACATGGAGCAAACAATTTGCACATCGTTGACAGGCCACTTCACACACTCAAGAGACTATAATCTGTTTTCATTTTGAGCTCCAGAGGATTGTAACATCAGCAATAATGAGTTTTTACAAAGATGTAGCTCCCTAATTAGCTCCAACTTAAAGCAAGGACTACACAAACAGTGTATGTCATTGTCATACTCTACATGTGTAGACCTTTTGTCTCCTGCCATCTAAAGGGCAATATAACCCTCGTAATAAGTTCATTTATATGAAGCAGAAAAATAAGATAAACAGAATGGCCAAAGTTTGACATAAATCAGACCAATAATAAGAAAGTTATGAATGTTTGAAATATGAGATCACTAAGTCAGTCAGTGGATTGTATCACAATATGTTACAGTCTAGAGTAACATTATAATGCTGTCTGATGTCAAAAAAGAACAGCTAGGTTTGTTTGTGTGTGTCTTCTTAGATCAAGATTGATTTAAAGCTTGCATGATCTTGATCTTCGGAGTGGTTGCTACAATGACCGTGTCAGACACATTGCCCAGGGGTGCGAGATAAGACTCTTGTAGCGTGTCCCCACTTTATACAATTATATAATAACAATTAACATTGATTAAAAGAATGAGCTTGGTTTTGTTGCTCTGTTCGGCAGCAGTTTGATGATATGGAATCCTGTGGCACATTACTCACAAGAGCTCTAACAAGCCAAGCTTATACATAGCCTATGATAAGTAATTTTGAGCAGCTAGGTAGGTGATATGAATTATCAATTTATCAATATCTGACAAGTCAAATTACAGAGGGTTCATATCTGCTGACACAATGACATACAATGTACAGACATGCTCCAGTTGAAGATATTGATGCAATATACATAAACAATATTTCTTTTCAAGCCTGACATTCTTGTCATTTCCATTTAACCACCCCTTTCTATTTAACCACCCCTTTCTAACTATTATGACATGGACATGACTTTTTATACCACAACAATATATATGCAAGATACTCTTAGATGTTGAATGCAGAGTTAATTTATATAGGAGATGAATTGGAAGGCTTCATTTTCATTTTTCCATCTGCATGCAATCTCTTCCCATTTTTATTGATCTCATTTTTTTGTTCATAGCGAGTGTCATGTTTTTCTCTGTTTCTCGTGTTTATGCATGCAAATATTCAATTTGAAGGGTGCATTGGAATATTTTTTTTTTGGCATTTCCTCTATTCTAGCATCTCCTTTTTTGGGGTTTTGAGTGAATTTCTTGTTTTCTGCAAAATCATGGCTTTCCACTCAGCATCTCCATCTCTCTATCTCATGTTAATGTCCGCTCTTAGGTTCAGCTTCTAGTGGATCGTACCGTCAGATCCATCTTGACAAACTCAAGAGAGCATCTCTAAATACCTACCCTGGGAGGGGGCGAGGTAGCTGGGAGGATGAGCCTCACGCATCAGGAAGCCACAGTGCACCAGTCACAGAGAGAGGTATGTGGATCTTACATTTTGTGGCAACCTCCTTCTGTTGTGAATTAAAGTAAACAGTTTTATAACTAAATTCATCATAATTTTAATTTCAGTACACTCATTTTGTTGAATATTTGTACTATGGACCTTTCTTGTGTATGGTGTGTGTATGTGTTGTGTATGCTTGTGCCATATGTTATGAGATTAATAACGTTGAGTTTTTGGTTTTATTTTTGTAGTTGCTAAATAGGCCTGTCCTCATCAGATGAAGATTGCCAAATATCCCGCTATTTCAATTATCCTGATCGCGAATTATCCAGTTAATTTGCATCTTCATCAGCCCGAAGTTGCAATTAGCGGGATATTTGGTCAAGATAATCATCCCAAGATATCTTGGGCTAGTTGGCAAAATCTCCCGCTATTTGTTCGGTGCGTCTTCACCAGCCTGAAGATTCGCACTATGAGCAAAATATCTCGAGCTAATTTCCCGCTCGAGTTTCAAGTTTGGATGTAGAGTCTCAAGCTGATGAAGACGTGATTTGTAACTTCAGGATTATTTCCCAAATCAGAAATAGCGGGCTATTTGGCAATCTCAAGCTGATGAAAACATATCTAATGAGGTTAGAAGATTATTTCAATTTCTATTGCAATGTCAATTAGAGTAAGCTGGCAATTGACCCTTCAAACAAGCTTTTATTCTCCTCCTTTCAAAACATGTAATACAATATTAATTCAATTTGAAAAGTGATACTGATATTCTAATATCGCTCTATGTGATTGTGACTTCCGTACATGTATTCTGGTAAACATGTTGTTCAAAAATAAGAAAAGGCAAAAAGTTCCAATAAGCCCCTCTTTTATATCTTTGATATCTTTAAAAAAGATTAATAAACTCTTTGTTGGAAAGGTTCTTCTGGCAGGCACCAATGCCCTGTAATCAATGCAAATCAATTCAAGAGCAGGCAGATTCAATAGGCCATTTTTGCGCCCAGAGGCTTAGACTGATTTATAAACATAGGTTTAGAATGCAAGCCTATGGCTATGGTGTTGGGTGGCTGGAAAAATGAATTTCATAATTGTGTTAGAGACCCAGCGATAAAAAAAAGTGGCTTTTACCAAGTAACGTGATGACGGACAGTTGAAGAGAATTTCTTGAAAGCCAAGGCGAGAAAACAAGATTATTTCTTTGAGAATATGGTAAAGGGTTTATACACATGTAGCTCACACAATCGTTTCTCAGTTATAGAAGGCTACAGTTGTAGTTGCTGACTTTTGAATACATGTATATTGCAATGAATTCTATATACAAAAGGTACATGTACATGTGGTAAATTTTTAGTTCTTGTTGTACAAGGTACTGTAGTTGGATTTGCTTTTTTTAGTGTGTTCGTACATACATGTAGCAGTATTTATTGCCGTAAAATATAGATGATGGAAATATAAAAGATTATGAAATATCCATCAGACATTGTTGCTATTCAAAATAAGTGGATACATTTACCGGTATTTTGTTCTCAAAACTCATGTATATTAAAAAAAAAATATATAAACTAAAATTTGAGTTGCCTATTATAAGAAATATAAAGATATATTAGATATCTATCCTATCCCAAAGAGATGTACATGTACATAATTACGAATATGGATGGAAATAAATTGGAAAGCATTTCTTAAGGGGAAAACAAAAATCTGATCCAAATTCTCAACAAGAGCATGATTTCACGCAAGTCTTGACTACAGGCTACACGTACATGTATTATATTCTGAAAAGATGGCAGCTGGAAATGACAGAGGATCATGTTATGTGCCTGGAATTTTTTTAGGGAAAATTTGTCAATATTGTGCAGTGTGCAAGCAATTTTATAATAATATAGTTTTTGTTGTTATTTTTTTGTTCAGAAATACTTGAAAAATATTCAAGCAAAAATTGAATTTGAAGAAAAAAAAGGAACACAGCAAACATAATCAAGAAATATTGTGATCCCTTTTCAGAAATAAATTATAGTGATAAAGTTCAAGCCTATGTACGCTTTTGGCCAGTCCCTCAAAGTCATTAATTTAGTTCTATCCTAAAGTGGGACACAGATAATAAGCGCTTGCACACTAGGTGATGTGGTATAGAAAGAATTCCTGCTCATGCTCTTACCTGTTTTGTTTTGTTCAGTTTTTCTTTTTGTTATGTATGTCAAATTTTTATGTGGTAGATTTCAAGGAAAACATACAATCTCGAATCATTATGGAGTACTGTATTTTTCTATTATTTGCAACTCACTGCAGCCATATGCATACTGCACTCTGCCTCTAAGGAGCAATATATTTAAAATCAATTGGTTTTGGATTGAGAGGGGTCCCTGGCTTCAGATGGTTGGGTTGTTTTTCACTTGAACCAACCTTCTGTGCTGTCAGGAATCGACCGGGATCGAATTGAGCAAATTTATTGAATGAATTCAGTTCCGATGGTTGTGGATGTGGCTTGTTTGTTGGGCTATTGCTTTGTATTGGATAATGATGAATGTGGTAATATTCAGAGCAACAGTATGATTTAAGAGTGGCGAAGTGCAGCGATTGTTTTATGATGTACTGTGTTGTGCTGCTGCCTAAAAATAAAAATGCATACTGTGCACTAGACAAGCTTAATAAATTTACCATCATCGTTAACTGTAAAAAAGTTTGTTGCTTTACTGACATGATTAAAATGTATATTTGCATAAAACTTGCTTTTCAAACAGAGTGATGTTTATTATTTTTTATTCATTCATAAACTAGCAATTTAACTCATTGGATGTCAAATGTTTTTACTTATATAAAATTAAAGTTAACAACATGTGCAGTTGTGAGTTTATCATGCTATTTTTTGTTCAGCTTCAATAATATTTAATGTGCAGATAATGTGTTTTTCCTAATTCAGTCAATGTTAACAAAAGTCAAAATATAAAATTGGACGTGTTCAGTTTCAGAGATAACATTGATCAACCAAATTTAACATGGCATTTTTTATTGACACTTTTTTGTTCCCAGCAGACCTGAATCTTTGGAAAACTTTTTCTTTTGATGGAGATAATATATTTGGTAAATTGAGTGTTTTCTTTATAATCTGAACTCACTCTCTATTATCTGAACTATACTGTAGCTATCCCTAAATATGACTGTACCACTGGTCTATTTAATCTAACAGATTATATTACTTTCTCTTGTGTCTTATGAAAGATTTTTCTATCACTGAAATTCCTGCATATCATATGCCATGACAAAGCATTGCATACATGTATTCTTCTATTGGGCTTTGAGGGTATACTAATAATTGTTTTCATTCTACCATTTTGCACATTTCATATCTAATTTATGTATTCATCCTTAAAGATTTCTACATTTTTTCATAACATACTAACACTGGACTTGCTTTGAAATTATTACAGGCCGTTTCATGCTGTGGGTACATGTACATGTACATGTAATCGCACGTTTACTGATCAATAATAATACATTTACTTATCCATAAATGACCTTGTGAATAGAGAATTCATGAGATTCATCAAGACCCTGTTTACTATTTTGCATCCCTAACAAATATTTACCAATTATCAACAAATGCTAAATAGAATGTACATAACAGGACAATTTCCATCCTATAGTTTATCTCATTAAGCCATAGAAAGATTGATCAAGTTCAGTGCATGTATTTTTAGATGGAAAAACACCTGCCATTTTGAACTTTGTTTTAATAGGTTCCTCGAGGAAGGTTTAGACAATTTCCTGTGCTTTCATGATGCGTTTGTCGCTTTGTGTCGATGAAGTTCATATGTAACTGTGAAGTATTTTGGAGATGGTTGCCCTTTTCATTTGGGTTAAAGTGGTGGGCTACTCCTGTGTACATTTATATTTACTGTTTTGCGCTAAGATTAAAAGCAAAATCAAAGCGATCCCTAGTATTATTGTGGGTGGGCAGAAGAGGAAGGGTAGAGGATGGGAAGGATATTAACAATAGAAAAGTGAAGGATACCAAGTTCAAATTACGTTTTGTCATGTAGATCATAGAGTTTTGAAAAGTGGAGATGTTTAGAAATAACCCTGCCAAAACAATAACTTTTCCAAAGCGGGGACAATTCCATATAAAAACCCATGCAGGAGAAAGAAGATCTTCTCTTGATGTTGATGCAGTCATGACAGTGACTCCATGTCATGTGAAAGCCTGCAGGAGAGTGGTAGGAATACTGCCAAAATAGCCATAATCATTATTAGCTTCAACATTCATCATGTCCACAATTATTTTGCTCTAGTCTAGAGGTTATTAATGAAATTAGACCCATCAAAGGGAAGGGGAATATATCGCCCTTGATGAACTTACTGTCCAGAATGAAATGCTGAACATAACAGTGAATATGTGGCATGTCATTTTAAAGGTTTGTCTTTGATAGTTGAAAAACTAGGTTTTGTATTTTTAAGGCTTAATTAGGTCAGCATTAATAAGCAATGGGTTGAAAACAGTGCTAACCTTTTAAAATACATGTATGACCTCATAATCTTTCTGTACCTATATATTATTTACATATATCTCTTGCTATATTGTTAATCTTACAATGGCATTTACAGCACCAATTACACTTCATTTTACAACATATGTATAGGCAGTATAAATGAGATATGAGAAGAATAAAGCTACATTGCAACCCTTATCAGTGACAGCTTTCAATGACGAGCTGAACTATTTGCAAATGCATCAAGTGAGGCAGGTAATTGTCGATATATATTTAATCATGATTTAGAAGTATACCTATGAGCCACTGAAGCTTTTGTTGACGTCAGAGGAGAGAGAGAGAGAGAGAGAGAGATTTGCAAGATGTGCAGAGATAGAAAGAGAAGGGCAGGGATAAAGAAGGAGGGAGGGAAAAATAAAAGGGGGGGGTGTAATAGAGAGAGGGAGATAGTAATGGAGAGAATGTACACATTAAAAGACACACAGACACAATAAAGTTGACAGGGAAAAGAAAGAAGGAATTGTAGATTTGGAGTCTGGACTAATAAAATACTTTAAGGATACACAAAAGGAAACAAAAAAATTATTTTCTTTCAGAAATCTCAACCCAAAAAATTATTTTAGTTATTCTGAGAGATTTAATGTATTCTTGTCTGTTAATCTACAAGATTCCCCACCAAAGTGCATGAGAGAGAGGTATTAAGCAAAATATTCTCAGTAGTCAGTACGACATGGGCATCGTCATTTTCTTGATAATGTGACGTACTACATTTATGTGAAGTCATTTATCAAGTAAATATATTTAAATTTATGGATGCTTCCTCCCCAATATGTGTAATGATGAAGTATTTCATTCATCTGCTATTATCTGTTTGATAACAATTGTCAGAAGACAAATTGCCTAAATATGTTGTTACAGTTGTTGCCCTTTTGGATTGAAGGTTTTGCATAAATGAAATGTAGGTTTGTCAGCTGCTATATACTTCAGTATATTTAAATAAATGAGTTACATGTACAACTGTTTCCCTGTTATATTTTTTGCTGATTATAATTTTCAGATATATTATCTATGATTTTTCCTCATTTAAAAGTAAAGGTTTTGTTATTAAATTAAATAGTCTTTCCAACTAGAGTTAAGTGCATGACACATGTAGAAGTTCACCTGGTACGTCACATTGTCAAGGAAATGGCTGTGTCCATGTCATGCTAAAAGTCATTACATCATGCCAAAAACATTTTAATCTATACATGTCTTGTACACTTTTGTAAGGAATACTGTTCACCAATATGCAGGAACAAACCTTACCATTCAGCATACCTACTCTTTAATCTTTGCAGTGAGGTTCCCTTTAAGAATCCATCGTCATGGTTACAAGCAAGGATGTTTGAGATCAGTGCTGCCTATTATATTATCTGAAATACATTTAACAAAGAATTCATTCAGATGGAAAGCCTTATAGCAAACAAAAATATAGTGAGGTTAAATTTCAATATCAGAAAAGGGAATTCATTTATCTTAAGTTTAGTATCTAGACCCTGGACTGCATTTTCCAGTTATAACAATTTTATCAGGATATTCACATAGTTAAAAAGATGCATTTTATCATAAGGATTTATTCCTACAAATGTTATTTCACAGAATAACAATGATTTTACTCTGGCCATATTTGATGCAATTAGTGTTGTAATGATGTCGAAATTACACATTTATACAATTGAAGAGGAATTGTGTTTGCAATATTATTGTGTGGAGTGATAGTTCTTATTCTAGGTGAATTTACTCAGGACTGTTGTGCAGTGATATGGTATCAACATCAATCTAGACACAGTGGACATTAATGTTGAGTTGCAAATTGTTCAAAAGAATTACTTGAGGTAACAATGTTATGCTACATGTAAATATCACATTTTAGCAATTTAAAATTCACTGCATCCTTTTTTGTTATTATAAACAATTTGATTGTAAAGGTTTGTGTGCAATTTCTATCACTGCCTGGTATAGGCAAGTAGAAAGTTAGGAACCATACTTTTTTTATTGGTTGTTTGATGGTGCTGTGATCAATATTTCGAATTCTGATTGAGTCTTTTTGATGCACAGTGTGAGATCTTTATAAGGTCCATTATCATTGCACTCTATAAGTGGACTAATCATATTTAAAGTTGACTGATTTGATATACCACTAAGTTTTCATTCATTTGTCAAATGGGAATGATTTGCTGCTATGGTAACCGAATGAATTGGCGAAGTAATGAAATTTCAATGAAGGTCGCAGATAATTACATTTCTCCTCAATTTCAGATAGCGGCTTTTTGATTTATTCAGTTTTTGAAATCACTACATTACATTGTACATGCAATGCTCCCTTGCAGATAAAGCATTCATGAATCTGTATTCAAACCTCTCTCTTCTCTCCGGAGCATATGCAAAAAACTTGAAATTTGATTACGTGTACATATCTGCCAAGGAGGAAAAACACAAAGAAAAAGATAGAAAAGAAAGATAGAAAAAGAAAGAAAGAAATCTGTTTTATTTTATAATCAAATTTGCCAGAACTCTTAACCATAAACATGACCAGTTTTAAAGGGTCCATTTAAAAAAAAACTCAGCAATGTATCTAATTTGGTCACCTACAGGATAACTGGGTAAGTGAATGGTAATGGTTATGATGATGATGAGACCTGCTTATTGATATTTGTTGTTGTTGTTGTTGTTTATGAAGACAACATTTTGTTCACGGATACTGGAACGGTAGAAGAAACTGAAGTTTACTGTATTACTAGAGAATATAAAGCTAAAGATTTCTTGTCTTTATAATAACAGGTGGACCAGATCCATTCATTGGCAACACAGCAGTCATCCCCAAGAAGCGTGGCTCCCCCAAACAGCACCCCTCCCAGCAGCATCACCATCATCAGGAGGACTCTGAGCACCTCGCCCACCCCGCCCTCAGGCAACAGCTATCCTACAGTGAGAAGTACATGCCGTCTGTGGGAGCATCCCGCTCCAGGAATGAGGAGGAAAGGGAGCAGCGAATGAATCGGAAGAGCCTGTCAAACTCCTGGCCTGATCAGGGTATCGGCATGGATGATGGTCCATCCTCGTCCTCCAATGCTGGGCGTAAGAAGATGGACCTTATGTTGGGTGAGTTGCCTGGATCAAAGAGTTATTTAAGGTGTGGAGTAAGCAATCTTGTATGCTGTCATTTTTGTCTTAGAGAAAGAAGAATATGTGAAGGAGAAATATTATATATAATGAGTCTCCTCGTGCTGTAATAAAAAAACATCCTTAATTTTATTTTTTCTTCTTTTGCAGATTCTCTCCATGACTTCCATGCAATTTCTCAATATGACGTCCCTTCACCCAACAAATCCAATTTCCCTGCCGGTACCTCCCCCATCTCACCCATCCCCCTGAAGGCTACACTGGCCCGATCAGCAGGGAGGAGGGGGCAAGGTAGAGCACCGTTGGTACCCCTAGAGAAGACTACTAGTCCTCGGGATGATTATGATGACTGGGATTCTTATCAGGATACCCACCGATCGGATTGGACAGACACTGACGTTGTTCCTAATGTAAGTTATTCCAGAAAGTAATATCTAACAAGTCATTTAAATGTATGTGAATGAGCAGTGAGAGATTTAGCTTTGGAATGCTTTAAAAGAGCATTTGAAAATGAGAAAAATAGCTCTGGTACAAACATCACTCCCATGAAAATGTCACTGTAACCATATTAAAACAAATAAAACGCAAAAGAGTTCTCAGTTTTGTACACTGGTTCAAATGCATGTTAATCATGAGATCTACACATTTTTTCAAAGCCATTCCATTATGTACAGTTCTCCATTATGTTATTAGCAAACTGTAGTTATTTATTATGCACAATCTTTCAGACTTGTGTTATAATCAAGTTGATGTATTTTCCACAAAAGACATTTTAGAATAAAACATCAATAGAAGTAGTTAGGTACATGAAGTTACAATATACTGAGGGAAATAGTCTCAGTTTTGGGCACCTTCAGTATTAAATTCAAATTCATGATGGATTCATCTCATGTTACCATTCATTCAGAGATCCTCACTGGATAACATAAGAGGCAGCGCAGCCAAGAAGCGAGCAGAGAAAATGGCACGGGGGCAGGATAAATCCTCCGGTGGGAGCAACAGGGACTTAGACGATAGTGGGTTATTCAGTCTACAGTCTACGGGGCGCTTGGATTTCGATGATGGGACGCATAATGGAGCTCAAACTACATACGTCAAGAAGAAAAAGTAGGTTTTTTTACCATTATAATGCCGCACTCATTGTTAGCAGATAATACATCTTATTCCCCATTCAGCATTATGCTCCCTTAATGTAAAGTTCAGAAATAATCTTTCTTGGAAAGAAAACGATTGCTCATAGATATCTGGTAAAGTTGTTACATGTATGTTGAAATAGATAAGTCATGTTTATCTTTAACAAGTTCTAAGATAGACAAATACTTATGGATTCCAGGAGTGATTGGTGTATTTAGTTTTATCGTTCATAAGAGATATAAAAACAGCAAAATACATGTAGAAGTTATGGCTCATACCAAATATGTATGAATTTTTTTTTTTTTTAAATATTCCTGGTCCTTAAATGATAACTGCAGATTTATTTTCACAAGTTTCATTTCCACTTTGAGTTTACCTTTAAAACTATACATTTCCTTTTTAAATATTTTTTTCTTTCCAGTCAATCATCTCTTTTTTGCAACATGCCATCTATTAATTTCTTATCTTGTGGTTTTCCTCATTCTCTATCTTGTGGTAGAAATGCTGGAATGAATCATGTAACTTGCAACACATATGCACGTGTTGCGTCATCTAAAAAAAAAAAAAAATATGACAAGTATTACGCCACTTTCACACCATAGCTTTTCATATTTGCTCACTATTTTTCTCAGAGCTTTTCTTCAAGTCTTTATGATATCCATCATGACGGCATTATATTGCTTCCTTTATATTAGAAAGAATTTTTTTTAATTCATTATTTTTCCTTGTAAGAATGATGTTGGTGTCATATGGTTGGAGTTGTTCTATGGAAGGGCTGCTGTGGTACAGCACCATACTTGATATGTTGCACAAATACTCATCAAGGTTTCTCTTGAGCAGTTAGGCAAAGATCTTGACAATGATAAGAGAGAAAAAGGTCTAGTAAAGTAGATTTAATTTCTTTAAATTGAGAGCAGATGAAAAGGGATTTCATTGTTTTCTAAATTCAGAGTACATTTAGAAAATTTTAATTACCAAAAGCTAATGAATGAATTGGATAAATTAAATGAATGAGAAACTCAGACATAAATTTGAATGAGTTATGTTAAGATGTACATTTGAAATATATTGTAAGAAGACAATTTCCAGTCATCTGTGTGAAAGGAAGCAAATAACAGTATTGATTGGTATTGCTGAGAGAGGCAAGTAGATTTAAGTATCAGAAACATATTCATCGCCCGTCAGTATTTGCATTTCTCTGATAAGTGATATATGCGACTTGACAGGTAATTTTATGCATGAGCAGCGGTCAGCCATTTGCAGCAACCACAAATCTGTTTCTGTAATAATTCCTGGAGGGGTTCTGTTAGTATACATTGCATGAAGGCACAGTTCAAAGACCAACCATGCAGGAAAAATTAAGTAAACATCAAACAGAATAGATTAGATCAGGCTAGATATATTCTGTTGTTCAAACAAAACCTTCAATTTATTATGTTTTCCCTATACTTGGCAATATTGACAATATTCTCCTGGTAATGCATTTGACATTTACTCTGTTAACCTTTTTATCTTAATATATTGCATCAATTTTCCTTTTCCATGAAAGACAATCAGAGCTTCAATACTGCAGCAATAAACACATTTATTTTGTGTTGGAAAAAAATACAAAAAACAGCCAAGAATCTCAAATTCTATTGCATTATTATTGATCACTTGCCTGTGAAGTAGTGTCACTGTAAACAGTTTGAGAGGAATATTTTGTAGAATAGGAATAAGAGGCCATCTCGTCATAAGAATCGTCTTTGTATGAAGCTGTTACCATAGTGATATAGCAACAGTCTTTCCAAGCCATGTACAAGGAGACATGACATGGCCAATGTATTTATAGCGCTGTGTACGTGTATATATTTTCTTGTGAAGGGCAGTATAGTAATAAGCTCTCGGAAGAGTAAAGATCTACATAAGATGATATTTTCTTACAGACATCCAACAATATATATTATGAAATATATTTGAAGGTAGATGAATGAGAATGAAGAAAAAAGGATGAAAAGATAGCAAAACAGATTATAAGAGGGGAAGTAATAGAAGAAGAATAAAAAATCCAGATGCTAAGATGGATATTTTATAATTACTTTTATCGAATTAAAGGCTTTCAATATATACGTCAGTCATTTTGCTATCTCTTCATCTGTGAATAGATAGCGTCTCAATTATTATTTTCATCTAGGGGTGAAGATGCTTGTGCTACTTACCCAAATATTATTATCCCATGACTCCTTTTTCATTGATCATTTTAATTTGTTGTGTTTTAAAGAAGTCACATTCATAGTTGATTATGTTGATCTATGGACCAATATTATGGAAAGATAGTTCAAAGATATGTATGATTGTATCTCATTTTTAACATCTTTCATAAGGCCAAAGTATGGCAAATAAAGTGTAATGAGTGTATGTACATGTATGTACATTCACGTCTCAAACTTAGGCAATTACAAAAGAATATGTACACTTGTATGTGTATGTAAAATCATGTTAATACTGTAAAAAAATCGTATGAATTAGTTTTTTTAAGAAAAAGATAATCAAATATTTTTATGTGCCCATATTTCATTGGTGCACATCACATATTGATGATTATAAGGTCTCATATATTCGTTTCTTTTTATTTCTTTTACTTCTAGTCAAACTGGAAAGAAAGGATCTGACTCTCCATTCAGTTCTAAGCCACGTATAGCACGGTCAAACTCTGGGAAAGGTTCAAGACGAACTGCTGCCGGGGAGCAACGCCAAGATGGCGGTAGCTCTTCAGCAAACCTGGAGTTTAATCCCTCGGGAGGAGTGACGTTCAGAGACAATGCGACGTCTGACGTGAGCATCATCGGTCATGGCTTCGGGAATGGACGGGGCATCGGTCATAAGGACATTGATCTCTCAGATAATCATGTGCCTGCAGGCAAAGGACAGAATTCTCGGGATAGGAAGAGAACAAAGGGTGAGTTTCTACTTTTTTCGTTCATCTATTTTTCTCATTTTTTTTCTTCTAATTTACTACCAATACAAAGCCACATATCTGTCTCAAACAATATGAGGTTAGGTAGTTTTATCTTATAAATATATAGATATAAAAAAGAGTCTTTTGAAAATAATGGAATTTCACCATTCATTTTCTTTTTGTGGTCTATTTCATTTTGTAAGTTTGATTAAATTTCAAGTTATTGTCTTAAGATACTATGCTTTAATTGACTTTCTGTTCACATTGATGTATATTTCATATGTATTGTAATTTGTAGGTTTATTGTCATTTTCGTTGTTGTTTTGTTTAATATGTAATTATGTATCATTGTATTTTGTTTGTTGTAGCGTTTAGAGACTTTGGTGGTAAGCGCTTTATAAGCACCGTTTTTATTATTGTTATTTTTATTATACATATTATACCCCAAAATAGAAGAAAACAGCCTAGATCAAATTGGATTGGATAGGACTTTTTTTTAATCCCATGTTATAGCGTTTAAAGACTTTGGTGGTAAGCGCTTTATAAGCACAGTTTTTATAATTGTTATTTTTATTATACATATACTCCAAAAATAGAAGCAAACAGCTTAGAGCAAATTGGATTGGATTGGACTTTTAAAAATTCCATGTACTGTATTTGCCAGCGATAAGGCCGCAGCACCGTATAGGACGCACCCCCGATTTTGACATTAAAAAAAAAAATTGTCGAAGTCGAGATGTTGTATTTGGAAGTTTATTTTCGTCTTCATGTCAACAATGCAAGATAAAATTGTCGGTAAGATGTGTGGAAATGTCCTGTACCATATGTGCAAATTCGTGCTGGTTTTGACTTGCTTTTTTTTTTTTTAAACTCATTCGCCGCATAGGCCGCACCCCGACTTTTTGATATTTTCTCTTCCGAAAATACTGCGGCCTTTACACCGACAAATACGGTATCTATTTCCTTAAGGATTTCATTTCTTTACCACTAATTCATAATTAGCGTTAAGGCTCATTCAGATATATACTGCAGTAGACCGCAAGATGTTTTTCATTTCTTTCATTAAATTTCAATGGCAAGTGAAATGGAAAAGGGAAGATGTAAAAGCATGCTGCAAAAGCATGCTGCAAAGGTCCTCCTCATGCTTACTTAGAAATTACGGAAATGTAAAGGGCAGTACAGTGAGAAATTCCCCCGTGGTAAACGGCATTAGTTTCCATGGGCATATGTGAACCAGCCTCTGGTGTTTTGCTTGTTTTCTCTTCTTGTGGAGCATGAATCCCAGCAAGGTCAACTATATGATATCCAATGCATAAAGTAGGAGGAGGGATAACAAACAGCAATCAGTAGATTGATTTTAAATATTATACCGGTAGGTTTAATGAGTCGAGAGATAAAGTGGATGACAGCAATGTTAGTTTAAACAGTGTTTGCACATCATTATGATTTTAGAATGATTAATGCATCACTTCCCCACCAATTTTTTCTTCTTCATTTCTCTCTATCTACCAGTTTAATGTACTGTGTATAAGTGTCTTTATCATTAATTATATTCACTTTGCATTGTTCTCCCACTTTTCACTGTTATTTTTCATTCCACTTTTGTTCATGATTGTTCTTATCTCTATGGCAACGCAAAGAGGATTACATCAAATTTTAAGCATTGAACATTTCTATCAGTAGTTTGCTGCAGTCAGATTGAATTTTTGTAGATGAAAAATTTACTTGTTCAACACGGATGTGAAATTATCCGTAAGAGTTTCACGAGGCATGATGGATGGATTATTTTTCTTTGTCATCTTCAAGTTAAATGCATTATTTTATTTTGAAGGATTTTTTTTCTTCAATGCAATAATAAACAATTATTTCTGAAAATGTCAAGATAGAGCAATTTTTCTTATATGAAAGAAATAGATACAACCATGAATCAGTGATACCTGGAGAGAGAAAATGTGGCATTTATGCCAAGAATTTCTTTCAAATTTGATAAGATTCAGAGTGAAAGGATTAATAACAACAAAACAGATTTTTCTTAAATGCCTTTTGGTAGAGTGACTAGGGTCATTTCCATTTTTCCTATGGGCATGACCACAGTGACAACTTCTTTTAGCAGGTAGACATTGGTAAAGTTATAGAGCTTCTAGTCTTTTTTTAAAAGAAACTACTCTTGTGTACTTTTCCTGTTGTTTCTGCCACATTACTTCCTGACAAAATGTGAAAGCTTTAAACACTTCACTTGTATTTGATAGCTGAACCTAGTCTAGCAGAAATCATTGCATTTATTTTGCACCAAACTCTTTGTACATGCGAATAGATTGATGGTTTTGAGAATCGTGTAAGCTACATATACAGTGTATAGACTGCAAGACTTAATGTGTGTTACTCTTGTTTCCTACTAACCATTTGTATTTTGTATACAATGGAGAGAGGAGAGGAGACAGGTATGGGCAAAAGTATGAAAATAGTCTGACAACCCCCCCCCCCCCTCCCCCCACCTGATAAAATTAAATTCATGTGCAAAGTTTATTTGAGAATGCATGCCAGATTGAGTTTTGTCAGCAGATCCGTGACTGATGAAATGTTATTTGTTTTAAAAGTACATCTTTGACAAGGATAGTTGCTTTAAAAAGAAAAAGGGGTTAGTGGAAAGATTGACATTTCCCTCAAGAACCGCTTTAATCATGCGTACTCGGGTAAATCGTGAAATCTATTTGACAACCAGTTTCAGGCTTTTCCATCTTAGAAATTTTGTTTCCCCGTTTAAATCATGTTCACGCGTTAGTACGTCTCTCAAGACTTCTCAATGATGAGCATACAAACTTGGTATTATTTATTTATTAATTTATTATTATTTAATTTCTCTGAATTGCCCATTGCTGTAAAAGAAATTGATGCCTACATGTATTGATGACTTTGAAACATTATAAATAAGATCTAGCTATGGTAAAGATTGTACATCCTACTTGTACTGTGCATGCATACAGACTAATCATTTCAAAGCATATACGACACATTTGGTGTGATTAATTGAGGTATTTGCTCCATTTTATAACGGCTCTTTCAAAATGTAATATATACATATGGACAAAATTAATAAGAAGCACAGTACAAGAATCTACATGTTGGATTTTTACAGATGTAAGTGTAACATGTGTAACTAAGTGATCAAAATTGGTTTTATATTGGTCTTTTCATGGCAGACATATGACAAATACACATCTATTCCTCAATCAAACAATCAATGGATATTCACAGTGTTGATTAGTTTGGCCATGAGCCGAGATTCCATGGAAACAGTAACTTTGAATTATATTTGCATTTGACATATACTTGCAACCTTTCATTATTACATTAATTCAAACTGCAGTTGCATGAAATCTTTTTCAGTGTAGGTTTTTTCAATGTAATCATAATAATATGATATAGTAATAATAAATTTCAATAGCGCAGCTTTATACAAAATATATTCAGCTGTGCTGAATGAATGATTTGAGTTTCCCCTCCCCATTCTTTAGTTTTCTGGAAACAAGACTACATATTTCTGGGTGACTTTGTCGATAACAAGTGAATGCAGTGATGAAACGATTTTTAAAGAGAGAGAGAGAGAGAGAGAGAGAGAGAAAATTGTATTATATGTAGATAAATTGTGCATAAACCTGCAAGATAAAAAGATTACAGTTATTGAATCAAAGGGATGGGAGATGATCAGTTGACTGTATTTCTGTTCTCCCGATATTCACAAACACACGTACTCACATCCTCACAAGAGCAATGCATTATTTCTTGAACACTTCTGATTCTTTCACTTCAATTCACAGCTACTGGTACATCAATAGCTTTCTGAATTGCATCTCATGAATATAAAGACACACGTCTTACCATCTATTGCTACATGTATAATGTATAGATACAAAATGCACTAACTTTGAATGGTAACTGTTTCCCAACGCAGTAATACTGCACATCATAACTTCACTTCTTTATATTACTTGAGAAGTAATGTACAAATTCCACTTGAAAATACTTATATGTACATGCTTCAGAATGGGAACCAGTGGAACCAGTGGGAGTAAACATTTCTGTATTTACAGACAGATGGATCCTTGATTAGACCACAATTACTGAATTATTATTAAAAAAACATCAATAGCTGCTTTAATCATTTGATGTCATTCTTTATTTCCTTTTCATTGTTTCTCAGGGTCTATCCTGTCTCCTCTATCGATGGCGTCTTTACAGCATCCTGGAGGAGTTGATCTGGATGACAACGGGGCTTTGGTTGGGGAGGACTTTGCCATGGTTATTGGAAAAGGTAAGAATCTCACAATTTTGTTCATTTTCTTTTGATGAGGAGTATGAAATGACAGTATCCAGGACAAAATATTGTGTATTCAGGGCCAGAAAAGTGTTAACTCTGTGTAGAGTGAAATGAGTGTAGATAAATTAGAGTATGATTCTCTTAGGCTAAGTGCTGTACAGGTAGGTTTGGTAGAGAATTTCAATTTGAAAAATTCATTATAGATGTATGTCTTGTTCTCCATACATTGATTGTTACCCAATCCCATGTGTATAGGCTTTGATTAGTAGGCTATGGGGTTGTTATTACCATCCAGTACCATAGGTTACCCTTTTCCCTGATTACATGTAGGTCAGGGTGAGTAAGGGCAGGATTTTCAACAGTATGTTTTGTGGTCTATCCCATTAATTGACCAATATGTTTTTCTTTTTACTCATTTTTCATTCATTGTTAATAAGTATTTTTTTGTAACCCCTAATAGTAAAACAATAGTGAAATGGTATTTTAAGAGAAATTATCTGAAATAAATTTAATCTGTTAATCATGTTGTAATGGGAAATTTGAATTGAATTTCATACTTTTGACTCGACCTATAAGATCTTTTGATTCCATCACCCTTTAGATTTATTTTTCAACACTTGTTTCAAGTGTAGTGGAGGGGAAAATCGAATAAGTAATAATGTAATTTTATCCATCTAAGTTTCTTTAACTAATCTCATTATTGCAGAGCGTATAAGTAAATAAGTCACTTATTTTACTGCCTTCTCTAACAATAATAATAAAAGGTTGCTTTGCCAAGCATGTACCACATTATTATTTAACATCTCTGTGCACTTTCAAGGTGCTTTGAAAAGTATTACTCTTGCTTGAGCTCCGGCAGCTTACATCATGAAGTACTTTTTAGCTCTTGAGTGATTCAATGGTATCATGACAACTGAAACGCGTAATCTCTATTTTATCGGTACTTTCTAACCAGATTGTTTTTGCGTTGGTGCTTGCAAATGTCCTCACTTACCATTATTTGCAATTTTAAGTGTCAGCATTCACAGACATAGACCTTAAATGTTCTTAGTGACAATTAGAATGAACCGAACATAATGTCTTTGTGGCATAGGATAGGGAAGAGACTGGGGCAGGGTCTCACAACTCGTCATAAGTACATGTTTACCGATGGCCCATGTACTTAACACACGTATCACACGTATCAATCGGATGTCAGTAAACTCGCACTTATGATATTTTCGTTTAAACGATGCTCAGGATTCTAAATGAATGTGACCTTATCAAATTATAACTATGATGAAGGTCATGGTGCCATTATCAGTGCTCTTTGTTTCAGTGCTATGCTTGATTGCTAATTAGGTTATAACGAGATTAGCTTTTAAATGATATGCCATTAAATAATTACATGTACTTGCATGCAATTAGCTACCAGTAATCCATGTGGTTTTAGGTCTGGTGTATTACATTATTTTCTCATGGTAACAAATAAATGAGTTCTTAATTTCAGCTTGAGAGTGATAATGTAAAAAGAGCAGCGGTTTTGCAATTTTGATTAATGTGCTTATGTTTAATTTTTTAATTGAATGAGGTATTATTAATGTGATTGTACTTGAAATGGCATGTTGTCTGTACTCTGTGCAGTGTAAGCGCAATAATTCTACATGTATTTCATGTATTTTGTAGAAACAATGGCTATTAACCCTACATGTATCTCTCTCTCTCTCTCTCTCTCTCCCTACCCCTCCCTCCCTCTTTTTCTCTGTCTCTCTCACTCTCTGTTTTTTTTTTGGGGGGGCACCCATCTACATGTATCTCTTTCTCACTTTCTCTGCTGTCTCTTTGTCAATGTTTTTCTCCAACTCTGTTTATCATCTCTTTAGTGCAAAAATCTTGTGTAAAACAATAAGTGTACATGAATATTTCTTTGATTTTCTTTCTGTCTATAGATTTGAAAAGTTCTATCAATATTTTTGGGGGATATTAACCTAAATAACAGACAGAATAGCAGACAAAGATGACTAAAATGGCTATTTGTCACACTCCCTTTATCTCTTCAGACAAGCCTCTATGTCATGTATCCTCTATGTTCCTTCTCTGATGTCAATTTGGACTCTAATTGGAACAAGTGGCTGTTAATATGTATTCAAGCAATCTAGCACATCAGTTTAATGGACTATGTAAGGTGTCCTTATCCCCTTAGCATGTGATAGATGAGAGCGTTCAGTGCAGTCAATTTCAATTCATTAGCATTGATTTTGTGCACACATCTCCTCGGGAGACGTAATGCACTTTCAAGGAATGCAGAGTGCATATTTTATCATTCTTATTACATCACATGCAAGACGCCCACTGCTATTTTGTTTTAGTGTAGACAATTTTGAAGACTTGGCAATTTGAATAAGTATGGGTCGTTAATTTATTTTACTTCCTCCAAAAAAGCTTCAAATACACGTACTCATCATTCTTTGCATTATCTTAATGCTTGTAGTACTCTGATACTTAATGCAAATACTTTAAATGGTTAAGTGAGTGAGAAGTGTATTTGAAGCTTTTACTTCTCAGAAACTAATTGCAAGTCTAGATACAGCAGCTCTGTCAAAATTCCAAATTGACCTCTAATATTACAGCAAATGAGATTCTCTGTAATTATTGTGTATGAGTGATTAGCTCTGATGAGATTATTCTGTGACCGATTCAATGGCTCTCTACTCAAGATGGACAATAGGAGCCTACAGTATCAGTAGTCCTGAGAGTTAAAGTTGATACTCTAAGACAATCCCAAATACTGAGATAATTACATAAATAGAAAGCTTTTAACCCCCATCATAACACCAAATGGTGTCCACCCGACAAAACAAGTTTAGAATAATGAATTTATTCGAGTAAACTCTACCAAAATATCTAAGTCTGAAACCCGGAAGTGCACGTAGAGTCGGGCCTCTATCCGTGACGTCACGAACGGGAGTCATGGGCTCAGTGAGAGTGAATGGCAGTGATATCCCTACGTTAAAGCTATCCTGTCAGAGCTTAGATTTGTTGTTGTTAAGGAGTATATTTGATGGATTTTCTGTTTTCATTTGAATGAAGAATAACGAAGCAACATTTTCCAGTCGCTGATTTCTTTTTATATCCTCATATTCACCTATTTGGTAGAGATTTAAGACGAGTTTACTGCTTAGGAATTAAAGTTAAATCGTGCACGTATGAATAGGCGGATGCATTATATTGTCATCAGATAAGGTACAGGAGCAGTTTTGTAAAACGAATAGGTCTAGAACTATGATAGTAATTATCATAGATGTGTGTGACTGCCTCAAAAAAGGATACAGTACCAGTTAAACATTTTATGTGGCAAAATATCAAACTTGAACGAGATCATGCAAGCGCGCTTCTTCTATAATATTTTGGCGAGTGATGCGGCTCTTGCATGAACATTCGTGAAGCGAGCAGAATCGGGAGGAATACCAAGCCGCTGCTCTAGGCGCTGCTTGCTTGTGATGGAACGTACGTGCGCTAGTTATATGTTTATCGGCAATTGCAAGAGAATGAAAGCGACGTTTCCAGCTAAGAAAAACAACTAACAAAGACTTGCTCCTGGCTACCGGTGTCAGAATTGGTAGATGAAGGATCTTCAGGGTCAAGGAAGGCGAAAGACATGGAAAAAAGGAAGAAGAATTATCGGGAGATCGCTGTAGTGTATGGTAATGAACTGTGCATGGGTAGACAGCTACTGTTCACTCCGTGCCTGCATGGGCCGATTTCAACACCAAAACAAAAATTACATGGTGAAAATATCGACTAATAGCACATCGTTGGCATGTATATGTCATAATTTTTAAAAGGGGAATTGATATTAATACTATGAAGTACTAGGGTAAGGTAAAGAATTGTACATAGAATTATGATTTATTAGACTTTTCAGCCTTTGAAACAAAAATATGCAAAAAATCGTATCACTCTGCACATGTTTGCTATGGAACATCCGGGTACGTGAATATACTCTCTCCCGGACGTGAGGTCATAAATAGTAGACCAGCGCCGTGACTGATTTTCTATGCAAAGAGAGGCGGATATTTTCAACATTTCAATTGAGGATTTCGAGTAGACAGAATTTTTTTGTGATTTACTAAGTAATTGAAAAACTTAAAAATAACATATACTTGCCGTAGGTAACAAATTAAGGGACATTTATTTGCTTAGAGTATCAACTTTAAGCTAATTATAAATTCTCATTTCAACACGTATTCCCATGTCTGATAAGAGTTGAATCAATTACACAAGCTTTGACTTCCCATTATAAAACAATCAATACTGTTATTATATCTTTGCTAGGAGACAAGATAGACTACCTTGACCGATTCCCCCTGTTTCAGTTTTTACATTTACATTTTTTTATTTTTTATGCCTCCGCCACCGAAGGTGGTGCCGGAGGCATCATGTTTTCGGGTTGTCCGTCCGTACGTCCGTACGTCCGTCCCGTTTGACCGTTATCACAATATCTCAAGAACCATTTAAGATTTAAACTTAAGACTCGGGAATAGTATTTATCACCATAGGAAGACGATCTGATTAGATTTTGGAGTACGTAGGTCAAAGGTCACAGGTCACAGAGGTCAACTTATGAAATTCCTTGTATTGAGTTTGTTAGCGCGATATCTCAAGAACCATTTGAGATTTAAACTTAAGACTCGGGAATAGTATGTATCACCATAGGAAAACAATCTGATTACATTTTGGAGCACGTAGGTCAAAGGTCAAGGGTCATAGAGGTCAACTTATGAAATTCCATACATTGAGATTGTTATCATATCTCAAGAACCACTGGAGATGTAAAAACTTCAAACTTAAGGATAGTATGTATCACCATAGGAAGACGATCTGATTAGATTTTGGAGCACGTAGGTCAAAGGTCAAGGGTCACAGAGGTCAACTTATGAAATTCCATACATTGAGATTGTTATCATAATATCTCAAGAACCACTGGAGATTTAAACTTCAAACTTAATGATAGTGTGTATCACCATAGGAAGACAATCTGATTAGATTTTGGAGCACGTAGGTCAAAGGTCAAGGGTCACAGAGGTCAACTTATGAAATTCCATACATTGAGATCGTTATCGCGATATCTCAAGAACCACTGGAGAATTTTCACTTCAAACTTAATGATAGTATGTATCACCATATCATAATATCTCAAGAACCACTGGAGATTTAAACTTCAAACTTAATGATAGTGTGTATCACCATAGGAAGACAATCTGATTAGATTTTGGAGCACGTAGGTCAAAGGTCAAGGGTCACAGAGGTCAACTTATGAAATTCCATACATTGAGATTGTTATCATGATATCTCAAGAACCACTGGAGATTTAAACTCCAAACTTGTTTAAATTGCTCTATGGCGGAGGCATCATTTTCGACTGCGCGTAGTCAAAATTCCATCTAGTTTTTATTTATTGTAATGGTAATCCCTTACATTCAAAGTAAAGTTTACAAATCTCAAAATTTACATAATGTACCTTTCTTTTTGTTACAGGTGTGTTTGGTAATGATGCTAATATAGTAGAGTACCCACGATCAAATGGTGGAGAGAAGACAATGAGGAGGAAAGAAAGCCATGAAGACGGTGCCTTACCTGAGGTTATTGGTCTTCAGGTTCGGCATGATGAGGACAGTCCGGAAGAAAATGTGAGTTTTCTCATAATTCCTTAGTTTTTCCTTTTATAAAATCTTGGAATGGATAACTTATTGTGGCACTGTTTGAGGAGACGCCTAAATGTCAACATCAACAACTTAATAGAAATATTCTCCCCCACCATAAAAAACAATAGCAAATTAGCAAATGAACAATAACCAAGAAAGAAAATAGGAATGTACCATATATTTTTGTTATTGTTGATTTATTCTTAAAAGTGTGTTTTTAAAACAATGCACTGCCGTATAGGCAGAAATTCATAATGTGAAGAAAAAAAATAATCAGTGTATTCTTTTTGATAGGACTAAAAATAAATATATTTCCATACTGGTGATTAGCTGACGTATCTTGTTAGTTGTTCTTGGTAATGAAGCAAACAGGTAGACTGATTATTCAACTTGAAATACCCTTGAATCGTAATCAAGTGCTAATATGGAATTTATCAGCCACCCTCAATGATTGATTTGGTGAGGAGAGACTGTAAACCTTGGGTCGTGCAATTCGTTCTCATATTCTGATGTGTGACGTGCATTTCCTACTTAGTACTAGGATATGCTTCAGAACTCCTGAGCATCATGCCTACAAGGCATGTAGATATTGCTGTTATTGTAAAGTGATATAATATTATATGATATATTGTCTTGTCTGGCAGGACTTGTCTATGTCCCTCTCTAAAGCAACAATGGACAGGATGGCAAGGAAACAGATAGAGAAGAAGGAGGAGTTGGAGCAGCGCAAGGCGGATCGTAAGGCCGAGAAGGAGCGTGCTGATGCAGAGAGACGCACTCAGGAGAAGGAGCGCGAGGTACAGAGAAGAGTTCTGGAGAAGGAAATAGATGCCCAGAGAAAAGTGATGCAGGAACGTGAAAGGGAGCAGCAGCGGCTTGATTTCGAGAAGCAACAGAGGGAGAAGGAAAAGTTCAAGGTATTTTGATAGTTTTTATCGTTTGATTAGGTTGAATGAATTACTGATGTAGCAGAAATGGAAGCAGTTAGTGTATAAAATGTTCACATAGATGTTCAATTGGTTGTATAAAAATGTTGAATAGACATGAACATACTCTCTATCTATAGATTGAAAAATGAAGAACAAATTAAAGGATGAAAGACTGATTATTCAGTAATTATGAAAAATAGGACGGGCATTCATGTTTACAAATTCTTTTAAACATATCTTTTGCATTGTGAACAGACCACTTCTCAATAAAATCCGAAGCACAGAGAATATTTCTGTTGATGTTGAAGGAGTGCACTATTATGACATCAATTCAGATATTAACAGTCCTCACACAGCATATATATTGATGACAACATGCTTTCAAAGTTGTTTTGAGAATCTGATAACATTACAATGTGCAATATCATCTTTTTCTAGGAGGAGAGAGAGCGCCAGAGGGAGGAGAGGATGAGAGAGAGGGAGGAACAGAAGAGAGAGCGAGAAGAAAGACTGCGGGAGGACAGAGAGCGTCAGAGAGCAGAGCGGGAAGAGAGGGAGCATCAGAAGGTAGAGAGAGAGAGGATAAGGGAGGAGCAACAAGGCAAGGCTAGGGAGAGACAGAGGGAGAAACTCAAGCAGCTTGAGTTAGAGGGTGCCATGGATCATGATGATGGGGGTGGTAAGTTCATATCATCAGCTGATAGCGCGAATCATGATAATCACCCATTGTTTTGTCGTTTGACTCAATACATGAGCGTAAAGAGCAAGAATTTCTACCCATACTGTACACATGTTCAAAACCAGGCTCTTTATTTAATAGTGGCATTAAAATCTTGAAATTGGCAAAGTATTTAGAATTTCTGAATCCCTATTTTTCTATATGAATCAACAATTTTCAAAATTTTCATCATGTTTAGTTATTTTCATGTATTCTTTTCAGATAGCAACTTTAATGCCATAATTTTAATGTACCAGTGAAAGTGATGTACCAGTTTTGAAGAAGAGAATTTGATCAATCACGTTGTTAATTATTCATGTCCTTAATGAGATTGGTCCATGCTTCATCAAATCCATGCATTTATCTTTTTCAACTGTCAAGAAGTTTTATTCATCAGAATAGAAAATATTTTATTAATATGAGTTGTTATGCTTTCTTGAGATGATTTTAATTTTTTTTAAACAAATATTACTAAACAAAATTGAATATTTATGCAATTTTTCTCCCTTCATTATTACTATCCTCATGTTTATGTTTTAAGCCATGCAGTGTGAATTAGAAGGAATATTTTGTCACTGAGATATCGTAGGCTAACTTTAGTTAGATTTCCCAATAATGTCTGAGCGCATTGATTAATGTTGAAATAAGATTCTTATTTGGCCTTCTTTGTAATAGATCTTGCTATCAATGGAGCTATGCTAGATAGCAGTAGACCTAATCCTCCAGCCAGAGTAACGGCCAAGCCTCCTGCAGCTGCTACACCACCTAAGAAGAAAAACAGTGGGTAAGTAAACAGGGAATAAGGAAGGTTAATATTTAGTTATAAATTAACATACAGGTCAAAATGTCATTTGGAAATATATTTAAAGGTTAAAACCAGTTTGGGAAATGCCCCTCTCTCAAAAACTGAAATGAAATGGAAGCTGTTATTACCAATCATGTGAAAGAGTATGTTTTGACTAATACGTGATGATACAAATTTTGCCGAGAAGCCACCTACTTATTGATATATTTGGTAAAGTAGTATATCTATTTGGACCTGATAGATATAATGCACGTGTCGCGCACGTGTGCGTAGTCCCATATACATCTTTCTGTGTACAGTACTTGTAACTTTACCAAGACTGGGCCAAATTTCTTATCATTTTGATGATTCCAGAACCTTGCAGTACACACTAATACTTATATGCTAGATGATCAACCTTTTCTGATCGATTCCACAACGTTTCTTTCACAAAGCAATCGCATGGCCAGAACTCTACTTTATCTTTAAGAATGGTATATATATTATTTACTATCATATTTAGCCTGCAAGATGTCTTAATTGAAAGATGGGTATAGTGTGGAGTTAAATTGTCATACAAGTTTATTCACTTAAGGTGTATGAAATGTGATTTTGATAATTAAACATTCAAAACTGTTGCAGGCTCTACAAGGGAATTGCATATAATGCATGTCTTGACTGCATTTGTATATGAAAGTGATATTAGTCATTCATGGCTCACAAATTTGCTTCGTTATAGTAGTCATATGTCTTATTGTTTTTCAAAACATGAAAAGAAACCCAAAATGTTCCAGAAGAAGAACAAATTCAATCATTTATAAACCTATACATCTTGTTATATATATTTATGATATATGATTTTTTTTTCTTTCTTTCAATAGGATTTCTGTGACAAAGAATTCTAGTGGTCCTCCTGCTGTAACATCACCACCAGGGAACGACGTCCAGAGCAGAGAGATGAAACCAGTTAATAATGTAGATGTAGCTGTCAAAGATTGTTTTAGATTGATCGGACATGAAGACTGGTAAATATATTCTTTCTTCACAATTATTGTATCATGTAATACCTTCTGAAAATACACCTTTGTGGTCATTAAAAAAGAAAATACAATTATTTCACTTTTTCTTTCCTCTGTTAAAGAAAAACATTGTGTATTTACTTTTCTTGTAATTATCTTTTGCTGTTGTTTACATTTGTGTATGTAGGGTGTGCTTTTTTATTTTTGTTATTATGTTGTATGTGTTTTTCAACAAGGATGATGATGGAATTCGTTAAATGATATTGTTCTTTTATTACAATGATTGATGTATATGTGATATCAAATAAATTATGAGTGGTTCATATTGTATTCCTAACCTCAATATTTTCCTCCTCTTCCTTTATTATACCAGTACTTAATTGCCTCGCAATATCCATTGAAGGCATATCAATTATTGTTATCAAATTGCTTGTAAAGGTTAATTTGTTCATTGTATTTTTGCAAAGGATCACTATTTAATGGCTTCATCAGTTTTCTATTCACTTTTGTTTTCTGTCTCATCAGGGAAATCAAGTTGGATGGCTTGTTCATTATTCAAAGGCTAGCCATTTTCCATAGCAATGACTTAGGAGGTCAGCTGCATGCAATGGTCGTGGCTGTTCTTAATGAGGTCAAGAATCTGAGGTCAACGGTTGCTAGGGCTGCGTTATCTACACTAGGAGATATGTTCACGTCATTTAAAACCAGTATGGACAAGGTATGTAAGCTAGAACATTAAATGCTTGTTCCATATGTATAGCGGTTTGCTGCAGGTTTTTTTTTTTAAAGTTTACTTAAGTGAACTGCATTTCACATATTTGTATCTATATAAGTGAGAACGCGTAAGACCTTTGCTGCGTGCAACTGTTTTCATCGCTTCTTGCCATTCATTAATACACACCAAAATGATCACTGTGGTAAACCACTGCAGTTTAGCACAGCATACATGAACGACAGGATTGAGTTCTTATAACCATTTTTGTATGGATCAAAGCCACCTTTTCCGCCAGACAGATAATTGATGATTTCAGTTCTAAACTGCATTATTGATTTCTCTATTGATCCAATTAGTAATATGATACATCTGAATGTTCCAATCGCTTTCAGTTCTGTATGGTATAACATACTGGCAAAGCAGGTAATTTGTTTCAGCAATCCAAATGTGAAAGCAAATGTCTTTTATTTGACAAAGCAATGAAAGATTAATCTTGTTGGATAGGATGTTTTCTAACATCTATCCAAGAAAACAGATATCCGATTAAAACATATATAAACATTATCTTCAAGTTTCATCTTTTTATAGAAAAACCGAATGTTTCCTTTCTAGTTACCTTGCTATACATTACACTTTGGATATAATTATGCAACAGGTCAATCATTTTCAGTATTAAAAAGGATCTTTAGGAGCTGTTATCACAACAATATGCTATATGGAGATTTACAGAAATATGTCATTGCTCTTTTGTCAAATAAATACATTCTTTTGATAGATGAAGTAGATTCATGTCTTTCTGTGATGTATTTTCTTGACAGGACTTGGATCCGATCTGTCGTATCTTGTTACCCAAGGCTGGTGAGAGCAATGCTTTCATTCGAGAGGATGTTGACAAGGCCTTAGATGCCATGGTCAAGAACGCAAACCCACAAAGAGTATTAGGAGCATTGATCACTGCTGGAGCAAGGTACACACAAACATCACATCCTCATTTTCACTTCATCTAATATTTGTCCATATAATGTTTATGCTCTAATTAAATCATATATTTTTGTGGTAATAATCTTTCTGTTTTGATGATGGAGACAAATTGATGTTTATTCTTGTTGCACCAGAATTAATGTTTCAACATTTGATTTTTCATAATCTGATTAGATCTTGATTAGATCAGAATATTTGAGTAATATTGTTACTCTCATATCTCATTAAATAGGAGTATATTCATAAAGTGAGACAAACAGCATACATTTTCAATTACATATTAGATGGTTAAGATGTTGGTTCATTTAAAAATTTTGTAATAAAAAAAACAAACAACATTTTGTTCAATACCTGTTTACTAGTGTGAAAAACTACATTGTTGTATAACATAATGAAAGGAACTCTTCCTGAAGATGAAGAAAAAGAAGGTAACATAGGAAATCAAAATGAACCATGTATCAATACTAATATTACCCCCTACAGTCATAAGAGTGCTATGGTACGCAAGACGACCAGTGTGTTTCTGGATGCAGTGGTAGAGCGTATGGGACCAGGAAGGATACTGAGTGGAGTGAAGGATGTCACTGATAAGATCTTACCTGTTACAGCTCAGCTAGCGCTCGACAATGGACAAGAAACAAGGTCAGCTATAAATATGAAATACTGTTTTTTTATGTGAAAATTTAGCTCCAGATGATGAAATACTGTAATGATACCTCTTTTCAAACTTTTCCCTTGTAACTATTTTTGTTTCTTCATTCATGAAGATAGTAGAGTCAACAACTGAAAGAAATGATTTGAATAGACCAGTTCACGGTTAGCACATGTCCCAAATGACCCAGAATATCCACAGATCTTCAAAACATGAAGAGGTCCCACTTTGTACATTTTGAAATAATCACTCCTACAGCGTTGGAGGTGCTACATAACTAGCCTTTGTTTCCCCTTTTCAAAGAATACTTCCACATGTGCATCACGGAGTGCACTGCTTGTGCATAAATGAATAATGATTAAAAAACTTTCGTGAGCACGTATCCAGTATTTTGTCTCTGTGTATTTCACAAATCGGTCTGCAATGACCTTTATCTGCTCATGCTCAGCCTGCAACTATGAACTAGCTTATTGACTGACTATTGATGTGACGATTGTTATATCTCGTTGGTTTTACATTTTCATGTGAAGTCAAAATTTTCAGTGCTCTTTCTCCTACTCATGATTGGCTCTGGCAGTCGTAAATTTCCATTGCTCATAAATCAAAATACAATGTCAAAGATTTTTTATCCTTTGTTGTATGATGATGATTCTGATTTACTAAACCCACCATGTTTGTTCAATTAGAATCATGCTTCTAACTCTGATTTTGTTTATTGCCTGGAAATCTAGACGCTGTCCCATATATAATTTCTTTAGTTCGTTGTATAATAAGTTTTTTTTGCACTCATTAAATCCATGTTTCTTGTTCAGTTGAATCAATCTTTCAAATCTTACCTTTTCATTGATGCTAAATCCAGGTATTATGCCAGAAAAATCCTATCAATTCGTTGCTTTGTGAAGATTCCAATCATGCAATTAACTCATGATTCTTTGATTACCTTTAAATCCAGTGAGTATGCCCAAAATAGCTCCTTTACCTTTTAGTATGATGAGGATTTTCACTTATTCAATCCATAGATTGCCTGTTCATTTCAATCTTGCAATTAACTCCTAATTCTTTCCATTACCTTTAAATGCAGGTACTATGCGAGGAAGATGTTCTTTAATCTGATGCACCATGAGGACTTTGATCGGTTGATTGAGAAACATGTCCCAGCTAAGAATCTCAAGAGGATCAGAGACATCCTGGAAAACCTCAAGAATAAGGTCAGTCAGTCTGAGAGACAAACACATAGACATAGACCAGCAATTAGACTTATTTGACAGTTGTATCTATTAAAACCCATCTGTACTAGCTAACAGGAGGGATTAGACCACCCTGCAAGGTCACTGACAGGTGGTTATCTCATCAAATTAGCTCTCAATTAACATAAGAAAAAGAGGATCATGGGGGACCAATGGTCACCGATTAGGCATTGTTTGCTATATAGAGGGCGCAAGTAGCTATAAGTAGATATAAGTAGTGCAGTGGGGCTTTAAGATTCTATCATTGAGTCAAGAGTAAAAAAGAGAAAGTGATTAATTTGAGTGTTGCAGCACGAGATACCTGATAAAAGACATGTCTATATTATAGAAATTTCAGTAATTTGATGAAATTTTCAAAATTTATACCTAAGTGATATCATTTCATTTTATTTTCAATTCAATGAATCTCTGATATTCAATAATTTATTTAGCTAAAATTCAGATTCAGAAATACTTAGTGATCATGTAAATAAATGATGATTTAAGTTCTACTTATTAAACATTGCATGGCATATTTTGAAAGCCTAATGATGGTGTGTAGGAAATTGAAAGTTAGTCAATATGTTTATCAAAATCTCCATAGTCAAGAGGTGATTTTTATGCCTCCGCCACCAAAGGTGGTGCCGGAGGCATCATGTTTTCGGGTTGTCCGTCCGTACGTCCGTCCGTACGTCCGTCCCGTTTGACCGTTATCACAATATCTCAAGAACCATTTAAGACTCGGGAATAGTATTTATCACCATAGGAAGACGATCTGATTAGATTTTGGAGTACGTAGGTCAAAGGTCACAGGTCACAGAGGTCAACTTATGAAATTCCTTGTATTGAGTTTGTTAGCGCGATATCTCAAGAACCATTTGAGATTTAAACTTCAAACTTAAGGATAGTATGTATCACCATAGGAAGACGATCTGAATAGATTTTGGAGCACGTATGTCAAAGGTCAAGGGTCACAGAGGTCAACTTATGAAATTCCATACATTGAGATTGTTATCATGATATCTCAAGAACCACTGGAGATTTAAACTTCAAACTAAGTGATAGTGTGTATCACTATAGGAAAACAATCTGATTACATTTTGGAGCACGTAGGTCAAAGGTCAAGGGTCATAGAGGTCAACTTATGAAATTCCATACATTGAGATTGTTATCATGATATCTCAAGAACCACTGGAGATGTAAAAACTTCAAACTTAAGGATAGTATGTATCACCATAGGAAGACGATCTGATTAGATTTTGGAGCACGTAGGTCAAAGGTCAAGGGTCACAGAGGTCAACTTATGAAATTCCATACATTGAGATTGTTATCATAATATCTCAAGAACCACTGGAGATTTAAACTTCAAACTTAATGATAGTGTGTATCACCATAGGAAGACAATCTGATTATATTTTGGAGCACGTAGGTCAAAGGTCAAGGGTCACAGAGGTCAACTTATGAAATTCCATACATTGAGATCGTTATCGCGATATCTCAAGAACCACTGGATAATTTTCACTTCAAACTTAATGATAGTATGTATCACCATATCATGATATCTCAAGAACCACTGGAGATTTAAACTTCACACTTAATGATAGTGTGTATCACCATAGGAAGACGATCTGATTAGATTTTGGAGCACGTAGGTCAAAGGTCAAGGGTCACAGAGGTCAACTTATGAAATTCCATACATTGAGATTGTTATCATGATATCTCAAGAACCACTGGAGATGTAAAAACTTCAAACTTAATGATAGTATGTATCACCATAGGAAGACGATCTGATTAGATTTTGGAGCACAAAGGTCAAGGGTCACAGAGGTCAACTTATGAAATTCCATACATTGAGATTGTTATCATAATATCTCAAGAACCACTGGAGATTTAAACTTCAAACTTAATGATAGTGTGTATCACCATAGGAAGACAATCTGATTAGTTTTTGGAGCACGTAGGTCAAAGGTCAAGGGTCACAGAGGTCAACTTATGAAATTCCATACATTGAGATCGTTATCACGATATCTCAAGAACCACTGGAGAATTTTCACTTCAAACTTAATGATAGTATGTATCACCATATCATAATATATCAAGAACCCCTGGAGATTTAAACTTCAAACTTAATGATAGTGTGTATCACCATAGGAAGACAATCTGATTAGATTTTGGAGCACGTAGGTCAAAGGTCAAGGGTCACAGAGGTCAACTTATGAAATTCCATACATTGAGATTGTTATCATGATATCTCAAGAACCACTGGAGATTTAAACTCCAAACTTGTTTAAATTGCTCTATGGCGGAGGCATCATTTTCGACTGCGCGCAGTCAAAATTCCATCTAGTTTCATATGAAATAGGAGATGGTTTTCAATAGGAAACTAATATGACCTTGTTATATAATGTACTCGTAGTCCAGATTCTGTTTGACACTTAATTGCTGCACGAAGCATGAATGCATGTGATTTGTGAAATTAAAGATATATGGTCTCATTCTTAATTTATGTCTCTTTTGTTGAATTCCTTAGGGTCTTGGTGATGTCCCATCAGATACTTCATCTGCCAAAGCTCGTCGTAGCAATCCTGGTAGTCGAGCCAACTCTGGATCTCAATCATATTCTAGGGATAGAAATGAATACAGGTGTGTATGTAACTGTGTATGCAGTCACTTGATGGCAACTCACTCAGGGTGCAGACCCAGTGCAGAAAATTCCTAGAAAATTAGATTTCTGAAGTTACGCCACCATGACCACACATATCATGAAAACCTACCAGTGAAACTTCTCACAAATATTCCAATAGACTGTGAGCACTATGAGTTGTGGAAATTTGATTCCTGTGACTGAACATTATGTCATCGGACCACTCCTAAATCTAAGTGCAGAGCTAATTAGTATGTGTCGTTTGTGTAATGATTTAGCTTGTGCAGTAGTGATGAGAAAAGTTAACATGACAGCATAGTAAAACTGCAATGAAAACACACACAAGAAACTTATGGGAACTTTCCAGAAATCTCTGGATATCAAAAATATGCACATTTTCCTGTCTGACTGTACTTCCTGTGACGTCTAGATGTGACATTGATTGGTGAAATATCAGTTGTCCATAGTTTGCAGCCGATGTCAGTTGTTTGCAAAGACTGCATATAAATAATGCACAACTTAAACCTGTGCACTATAATCAAAATTTATTTCAGTTACGTCATAAGATGAAGAAGGCAGAATGGCACTGTTTTTGTCTCGCCTGCGTAGCAAAAAGCGAGACATAAGCGCCGCTTTTCCGGTGACGGCGACGGCGGCGGCGGCGTCAACATCAAAAACTTAACCTAAGTTTAAGTTTTTGAATTTTTGATATAATTTTGAAAGTATAAGTTCTTAGTCAATGAAACTTGGACTATAGGGTTCTCAAGTCTCCCAAATCATGTGAGGAGAATTTCAGGTCACTAAGTTAAGGTCAAAGGTCATTTAAGGTCAACAAACTTAGACTTTGTTGTAGCATCAACATCAAGATTTTCAAAATGCTTCTTCTTCGTTATTTTTCAACCGATTTTGATTCTGATTGTTTCATATGATAGGGCTAGGAGGGGGATTTAAAATTTCTACACAGAATCGTGAAATTCATTATCTATGCTAATTTATGCAAATTTATTCGAAATCTCAAAAAAGGCTTCTTCTTCTCCTTCATTTCTCGACCGATTTTGATTTGGTTTGCTTTATATAGTAGAGCTAACTTTGGTTCACTAAACATCTACACAGAATTTTGAAATTGTTCCCCAGTAATTAATTATGGTAATTTATGCAAATTTAATCCAAAAATAACAAAAATTGCTTCTTTTCCCTCATTTCTTGACCGATTTTGATTTGGTTTGCCTTATCTGGTAGAGCTAAATTTGGAACACTAAACTTCTACACAGAATTGTGAGATTTTGCTCCATTGATTATTTATGGTACTGCAAATGAAATGAAATTACCGGTATGTCCCTTCCAGGGCATCAAATTTTAATTTTCTGACCAGTTCAAAAGTGTACCACATAAAATTTACGATATTTGCGAGATGCGGATGAGCGCTACGTCATTGACGTTCTGGTTTATCATATTGAATTGCGTTATGCAGGCGAGACCGCCAAGAGCGTTTCCCTTGTTATGAGTAGCGATTGTTAGCGATTCTTCATGGCATAAAAAAGGATGCATATTTGTATGATAAGTTCGGTCACAGAGAATTTAAGCATCAATTTCCTCCATAAATTACCTTATGATATTAGATATCAGTTATCATTTATGTAGTTCTAAGAAATGACAAAATTTCTACTTAAGAGTTTATTTGAAGTATAATAATTTGTATTATTTGTGTTATGTTATAACCATTCCACCCCGCTATCAATTATCTGACCATTGTTCCATTTTTATTTGTAGTGAGGTGGACGGCACCCCACCAAGCTCAGTCAAGAAAGGAAAGCGGTCTGGCGGAGGAGCCCGTGGAGAAGAGAACGAGACTATCAAGAGTCTTTGTGAAGGTCTAGGAGCATCGGATTGGATGTCTAGGTTACAAGCCATTGAGAGACTACAATCCATGTGTGAAACAAATCAAGACTTGGTTGATGGGAGCTTAGTCAAGGTAGGTTCAGTTACAGAAAGCACACACAAACACACACACAAAACGGCTTAAGGCCATTTGCTCATAGATCCTTCAAAAGGCCCCCATAAATGTTGAGAACCACTGACAAACAAAATTTCATGAATCATTTCCCTACCTATCATTTCTTATACAGTTAAACCTGCTTTTGTGCTTACCTGTCTACAAAGACCACTTGTCTACAATGACCACATTTTTTGTTTCCCTTGAAAATGGTTTCTCATTGAAACATGTACTAAAGGAACCTGTCTTCAAAAACCACTTTTGGTGTTTCCCTTCGCTATAGACAGGTTTGATTGTATTCTATTTCAGTAGGACCGTGTTAAATGGCAGAAATAAAAAATAATTGGGAAGGAATGGTACTTGTTACTGATATTTCTATTTCTGTTTCCCTCTCTTCAGATCTTTGATAAATTCATCTCGAGGTTATCAGACTCGAACAGTAAAGTGAACATAGCTGCTCTGACAACCATGAAAGACATCGTACCTCGGCTTGGTGAATCCTTACCGGCTGTCGTCAATAACCTCGTCCCAATCCTAGTCCAGAACCTTGCAGCAAAGAACCCTAGCATCAGTCAGACCAGTAATGACATCCTAGATCTCATTCTGGAACATGTTGGTAAGTGTCTCTTGATTGATAGATAATCCATTTTCAATTTGGCTTATGGGTGTTGTTAACACCTCTCTTTTGTTGACCCCTTATAATGCACGTTTTGAATAATTGGCTCCAAATAATGAACATGTTCACGATTTCAAAAGTATTTAGTCCGATACAATAACCTTCCTGTACAAGAACCCATCTAGGATGATAACCACCAAGAATATCGACCCCCTTCCATCCACCCCCCCCCCCTACTTTCCCCTGCTCCCCCTTGATGGTTACCCACCCAAGACTACCCATGTAAGATAATTACTACCGGTACCTGATAATTCGATCCTCAGGCAGTTCTTTGCACTGCGTTATTACCCCCTCCCCCCCCCCCCTACTTCCCCCTGCTCCCCCTTGATGGTTACCCACCCAAGACGACCCATGTAAGATAATTACTACCAGTACCTGTTAATTCTATCCTCAGGCAGTTCTTTGCACTGCGTTATTACCCCCTCCCCCCCCCCCCTACTTCCCCCTGCTCCCCCTTGATGGTTACCCACCCAAGACGACCCATGTAAGATAATTACTACCAGTACCTGTTAATTCTATCCTCAGGCAGTTCTTTGCACTGCGTTATTACCCCCTCCCCCCCTACTTCCCCCTGCTCCCCTTGATGGTTACCCTCCCAAGACGGCCCATGTAAGATAATTACTACCGGTACCTGATAATTCTATCCTCAGGCAGTTCTTTGCACTGCGTTATTACCCCCTCCCCCCCCCCTACTTCCCCCGGCTCCCCCTTGATGGTTACCCTCCCAAGACAACCCATGTAAGATAATTACTACCGGTACCTGATAATTCTATCCTCAGGCAGTTCTTTGCACTGTGTTATTACCACCTTAATGAATAATTTAGCTGTTACCAGAAATGTCCCAAATCAGATGGCCAAGTGGAGTGGATATTATAATCATCTTAAAATGGAAATATCCTGATATCATTAGATGACAGACTTTTTGATGGAAAGGGAAAAGGGGCATATTTTTTAAATTTCACCCGGTAAGCATTATAAAGTTATTGAATTTAGATTATGGTTCATATTGGAAATCAAGAGTTGTAAAGAAAAGTTGAGAAACTATGCAAGATGTTAATTGTTGTCTGCAAGATGTGACGCCATATTGTACTTTTCTACTGGTACACTTGAACTGCAAATTAATGCAATACGATACTCACCACTGTCTGTAACGATAATGTAAATTGCTAATGTCATTGTATTGGTTATATTGTTACAGATATGCTGGTATTAGTTCAGCCTTACTCCAATGCTACTCAGTATGGCAACGTGAGAGCCAGGCCAGCAATGGTAGAAAAGTTGTCCTGTAAGTACTTAAATTATATCATCAGCCTTGTCGTCTCAATTACCCATTGTCTCAAGAGTTCCTTGGGGCATGTGACTTGCAATGAATATGCCCCTTCCTACATCTTATATTTAGGGGGGGGGCACTTTTTTGTTTATCTTGAATAACATTTATAAAAATGTTGTGGCGTATCGCCTGCAAAGAGTCAGGATCTGTACTCGCTGAACTGACTGTTGAAGGAAGTATGAGTTAAAGCAATCTGGCTGTCAGCTAAACAATCTAAAATGTTAATTATCAATGTACATGTGCTGTCATTTCACAGATACCGTAATACAGATCGTTAAAGAAACATGATAGGGGGGAGGGGCTGGGGTAGGGATAGAAGTAAGAAACCTAAACGAGATACATCCCAACCAGTATATTTTTTTAGTGCTATTGGGAAACAATGTCATATGATAATTAGCCTGGAACAGTATCATGTTTGCATGATGCAGGGATTTAAGCAATCTTCATATTGTTCACAAAGCCAGTATTCTGAACAGAAAAAAAAATTATATATACATTTAATGTAAAGAGTGACTAAATTATTGTTCCCACTACAGCTATTAGAGTGTTTTAGACTTTTTTTAATCATTTCTTTATTGGATTTGTATGTGTAGGAGAGTCACCACCTTTTGAACTCTTTATAATAAAGCAGGGGGAGACCCTGTTGTAATGGTAGACCTTCACCATCCCAACCAGTTATATTGGAAGGAGATACCCAAGAGTTATAATCATAAAGTTTCTTTTTCCAAAGAAACCTGATCATTTCCTGAGCAAATTTTTATTTTTATAGAAAATATGATGATGATGATGATGATAATAATAATATGTTTTTTGTATAGCGCAATTCAACTCAGAGTTGATATATTTTAATAATTTTGAACCTTATTGAACATGCAGTATAATATAAATTAATGAGCACTAGAGTGTTCTGTGCGGTGTAAAATAAACAGTATCTACAATGTCATTATTCAACTTCTTTCAGACCTTGTGACCAAGGTGTACCCACGGAAGCAACAGACGGTCGTCAGGAACGTTCTACCTGTTCTATGGTACCTCCTGGGCAACATGACAGGTAGCGGGGCGGTACCGGGGGGTTCAGGCAACCTACGTAGTGCCACAGCCGTCCTTGCTAGTAGCCTTCATGATCAGATGGGTGAAGGCTTACTCCAACATGCTCAGAACCTACCCCCTAGGAGTGTCAAGACACTCAAAGAACTCATCGATGAAGAGACTACATGACATAGGTAGTGCGCTGTAGCTGCAATGGGGATAATAAGTCAATGGTGATATTGGTTTTTATTGCCTCTGTCTCACTTTTTTACATTTCAAGATCTCATGAGAGGTAAGGAACAAATGGTCATAAACGGAGATTCCCGCTGAAAATTCTATAAAAACAATTTTATACCTGTACCGTGTAGGAAAGAAAAGAAGAGTTCATTTATATTGCAGATGTTGCGTCAGTGATAGAGGTATTCAAAAATACAGGCTTAAAGCTCTGGTAGTTAGCAAATTTATCAAACTTTTTACAAAGTTTGATATGTTTCTAATGACTTGTATGTATTCATTTTACTTAAATTTATTCATTTTACTTAAGTAAAGCTTATTTTTATTTGTAGGACACATAGATCACAGTGTGGATATAGTCTAGTACAGACATGCCCATGCTGTTTGTAACATCATTTCTATGTTAATTGAACCATCCAGGTTGTCAAGGAAATGTGCAAGATTTAAGTAAAGGAACTATTTTGCTGTAGATGCCAAATCTCCCCCTCCCCCCCCCCCCCCCCCTCTTTAAAAAAAAAGGAAAATCTTTTCTAGCAGATTATGTCGACCATTTTTGTTATAAAACGTGGAGAGAAATTCAAGATTCTTTTCTTCTCGAAAGTATTTCAATATAATGCTTTAGCTTAAATGTCTTTATCTAGTAGTGTTCAATCATTTCAAGTTAGATTAATGTTCAATCACTTGAAATATCTTAGATAGTAATTATAATGTCTTTTTTTGAGGAAAAAAATTGCTCAGCCAAAGTTGGAAAAAAATTGTGACCAAAAAGTCTAACAAACTCTGTCAATGTAGAAAAACCCCTTCATATCATGCAAAGCTAAGATAGAGAGCTAAGTTCCTTTTACCCCTGTGATGTGTGCTATATAGAATGATAGAGTTCAGAAGCGTTTCTAAGATAATGAATATTTGTTTTGAAAAGTGCAAGATTTTATGAAAGTATTGATTGCCCATGTCCGTCCATGATATGAATTAGATAGTTAATGTTCACTAAAGAACCTCTTTTCACACAGGCCAGTAAATCTCAAGTCAAGAGGAAAAATCGTATTGTAAAAACCTTTGAAAAATTCTATGACGTATATAGATATATATATATATATATATATTTGCATCATACCTTTAACTTTGCTACATATTTACGTTTGAAATTGTTAATCAAGTGATTGTTGCCAAATGTCATTGACAAACTTAGACTTATCTTATAGTTATTCCTTTTCAATTTATTGTAGACATTAAGGTCATTTGGTGTAATTGTTACATATTTATCTTTCATGTCAGTATTGTAATAGCTATTGGCTAATGCTTAAAAGAAGCTGTTACATGCATGTTATCTGGATTGATGACGTCAACAAATTTGGAGGGATATGTCAGGTACACAGAAACAGAGACAGAATTGTTGAATGGCATGAGCAAAACTTACCTTTTATTCATGTGAAACCATAGTTTGGACTCAATTCAGGGACATCTGTCATTTATTTATACGCATGTACTGTTGTTGAGGGTACTAAGAACTGTATTAGCAGTTCCTAGAGATCATTGATGTAAGAACATAGGAAACTACTGGTTGGACGACAGCCCTGTTCAACCTTTGTAATGCCTGGCCAAATTATATCTTTTTTTATAATTACTATATAAATACTTAATTATAATTAGTATAAAATTACACAATTGGAGGTGTTGTGGTCTAGTGGATATGTCACTAACTATGGATCACATGGTTTGTGGTTCAAGTCCTGTCGCAGCACTAGTGTCCTTTGGCAAGACATTAATCTACATATGCCACTAACCTACTGTTATGATTTTTATTATTTGAAGCCTCCATTGCAAAGATTTGGTAGGCTTCTGTTTGTTTTGTTTTTTCTAAATAATATCTGAATGTTCTTGTGTATGTTTTGCTGGAGTTGGAGATTCCAGTGCAGTTATTTTAGTATAATTTTGGATAAAATAGTAGGATTTTGCTTTGTTGGTACTAATAGTGTGCAACAGAAGACAGTATTAATGAGACATATTTTTATTTATATTAATTGCCTGCCTTTAGCTATTAGCACCTTGAGGGATCATTGTAAGGATAATCAAAGAAGAAAGCAATTTTTCTTTTAGTCAATAACCTTTGGACTTATACTTATGTGTTTTGCTGTGGTATTTTAACTGAAATTAATTACTTGTAAATAAAAACTGTATTCTTGAATGTAAATAAGAGGTTATATCTCAATTTGAAGAAATGTATTTTGACTGTGTTCTATATTTGTGTACCGTCCATGTACAGTTGTGATTGCTATATGTGTTTGACAGTTTACTTGTAACGTACTATAGCTGCAAAATCTAACATGTATTGTGATATTGTGTAACTATGAAATAGTGGGTACAAGATATATTAATCTGGCACTGTGGAAAAAACAATGTCAAATGGCTAGGGTAATTCTTAAGTTGGGATGATGTATGTTTATGTTGAAGTGGCAATCAAGAAATAGAAAGAAGTTCATTCTTCATGGAATCAGTAATTGACAGAAAAATAGATGTAGTTAACACACTAGCTCTAAAATATATGTGAAGAGTTAACGATTTTTTCCTTTTCCAGATGCTATGTACATGTATAATGGTTGGCCAAAGCGTAAGTCAAAGGGTAACCACATGTATGTCAGATTTACTTAATTGCTGCACTCCATATTGCAATATGATATGAGGAACAAACGCCATGTCAGATTATGCTATCTGTCAAAGATGATTGTGTAGCTTATGACTGCCTCTCAAATCTGCTTGAGTAAACCTAAAATTCATTTTTGTCTAAGATTAACTAAGATGATTTAGCGTTGACAATGATCCTTTTCTACATGAAGCTTACCAGAAGTATGCATTTCATTAGTAGTATTATACATTTTCTATATTGGGCATTTTGATGGTCAAATACCAATTAATTTTTCTTGGTTTATTAACATTGAAGCAGGCCATATCACATCATACACCATTTTGTGTGGATGTTATTTTTGTCTTCTACTACCGGTATACAGAATTACTGATTGATGATATTTCATCTCGCCCTTGACCCTGTCCAGTAGTAGACTTAGACAATTGTATAAACATTAACAATATACAGCTATAAATTCAAGGCTCAAAGTTCCCAATATTTTTAGTATGCATGATTTAATGGATTCTTAGGTACCTACCAATGTTATAGAAGTAAACCGAGTCTCATTAATGTGAATTAGTCATAATCTGAATTGTACTTTTCCTAATGAATGCTCACACTAACTCCAAAATTGATGAAATTGATTTTGAGAACCCATGAGAACATGCATACATGTGTCGTCTTGTACCATCTTTCAGTGTTCCAGCATACTAAGAGATTAAGTAATCCCCAGATTGGTTATCATAAACCTTTCAAATAAAGATGCAACCAGCAAAGATTTAATTCTATTCAACTGCCAAAGGGAATGCACGTTGCTGTTCATATCATGAGTTTGAAATACCAAGCACTATAGATAGTTTGCAAATTTGGGGGTTAATATACAAATAATACACAGCAGTGAGGGCATTAGGAAGAATTACCCACACAAGGCGTTTGGACTGTTTTTAAGGTACCATGTGTGGGTAATTTTACTAATGCCCAAACAAAATGATGTGTATTATTTGCTTTATAAGATTATGTTTTATTTGTTTCATAAAATGATGTTTTATAGCATGATTTTGATAATGAACGGTCATTATCAATATTACGTGTTGGGCAAAATAAATGCCTGGTCACGTGTACGCTTTCAACCACTCATTTGATTAGGATCCACGTCATCATCTTATAAATTATAAAGTAATATGCACATTTTGAACTACAAGTTGATTGATTCGATTTGCACAAATGATACCAAAGTTGCAATTTTATAGGTGGCATTTCATTTAGGTTTGGTAATGTTTTTATTGCCATTGAATTAGTTTGAAAAGTCCACACAATGTACTTCAGAGATCAGATCTAGCTATGTATTGAAACATATATATTCAAAATATATGTGTTTTTTTTCTTTAGAGAGGTACATTTGAAATAAGACATTATATACTGTATATTGTAAATAATTCAATTGCCAGTCTGTAAAGTTAAACATAAACACCATTTCACCTTGTACATTTGATGGTATTTTTGTGAAGGGAATGTTTTGAGATCGATATTTGTGTGAGAAAGAATAACAAAAGAGTGTGTGTATAAGAATAAATTTCAAATGAGATAAAATAGAAACAGCTGTCATGCATTGTTTTGCTTGAGTTTTGTCTATAAGCAGTGGTATACCAAGATGGAATGGTAAATAAAGCTTGGGATTGGCAGAGCTTAGATTCATACCTCCTCCCCCATGATTTGTGTTCCAGAGATCCATGGATGTATATAAAAAAAAAAAACTTTTTCAAAAATGGAAACAATTTCGTCCTGTAATTTGCATTCAAACAAATCTAAGTACACTGTATAATCAGAATGTCACTCTCTCCAGCTTTATCATATCAAATCATATATCTTGCAAAGACTTCAACACAGGCAGTCAAATAATTAGCCTACTTTCATCATATTATGGAGGTATAAGCTTTTGAAATAGTTTTAGGGTGACAATTTTCACAGTGTACAATTTCTTTTCCTATTTTGTTTATTTATTTGAACATCTTTATTCAGGACAAAAATGATCATCAAGGCTGTTCTCATCATGGTCCTGATTGGAATACAACAAAAATACGCCACAATGAGTGTATGTAAACATTTTAAAGGTTTAAAGAAAAAGTTCATGATACACAATATGTATATAAATATTTACACACAGTACTTAAAATACAAGGTAATTGGATAATACAATTACAAAGATACTTCTTTAAATTGTAAATATATCAACAAGATAAAACAATTTAGCTGAGGATCGAGAAAAGTAAATCAGTGCCATATCAAGAGAAAAAAAGAGAGAAGTAGACAAGAGAGATAAAGGCAAAGAGATGTATGGACGGCGAACAAAATAAGAGGTAGGAGAGTACTAAAAGTATGAACGGACACCCATGCAATATATTTGACAATTCATTTTGTTTTCTTTGTGTGTGTGTATGAGTGTGCAGTGCTGGTGGGTGGGTAAGTGTGTATGCGCGTGTGCGTTCGTGCGTGTGTATTTGTGTGGTTAAAATGACACTGTAACATTTATGATCATCCTTGATCGACAGTGCACTGACCAAATGATGTGAGGGTACATAGTGAGGGTACATTGAAATTCGGCTCATATGATGTAATAAAATATATTTTGAGAATTATGATCTTGTCGTCCGTTCGAATAGAAGTAATTCTCAAGATAGGATTATGTTCAAATTGCTTGTAAATGAATTGTTGAATTTAAACTTGATATTATACGCAATAATAAATGAGACCCGTCACAGGGCAATCCAACCCTTTTAAACAAGTACTCAGACAATATGATATCAAAAACATTAGATTGGTGAAAGAGAGCAATGCTCTCTGAATGTTCTGTGGTTTCATAATTCTTTTTTTGACATCGTGTACTACCAGCATATTTCGCTTTCACTGCGTTGTACTAAACAGACGGTTAAAGAGTTCATATACAATAATGGCAGCGTAAAGATCGACAGATAATCATAGCCCTTTGCATTAATTTACCACATAACTTTACTTCAAGGGAAATAAATATCGTTCAGGCAACGTCAGTCGGGACGGATAGTTGGGGTATTTTCATGTCATTCTCAAATCCGTTACTTTAGGAATTAATAAGAGGACTAAATAAAGCTGTGAAAATGAAGGAAAAGAAATCGACAAGAGCTGGCATTCGGAAACCTGTCATTAGGTTCATCATCTTGATCATCTCAATGTTCCTTTATTTAGGCCTTGGCGCTGTTATCTTCAATCGTTTAGAGACTGATAACAACATTGCTTCTCAGAGACAACTATATAATTCCCTGATCGAATTCATGGATGATCATCGATGTGTTTCAAACGAATCGCTTAATGACTTCTTTGTCCACGTCGACCAAGCGATTCAAACTAGCGTTGTGAGTATAACGAGGCAATCAAGGATCAGGGATCCAAGTGCGTTATGGGATATACCGACATCGTTCTTCTTCACTTCTACCATCGTAACCACCGTAGGTAAATAGCTGTGACACACATTATTACATATTTTTTAAAATAATGATACATTATTAAGGGCTTTTAGATAATTTATCCCCGGCCCCCCTACTCCGGGGTCGGAATGACCGCATGCGTGTTACCAAAATGTCCGGTAAAGGGGTACTTTTCGTGCGACAAAGTCCGGCCCGAGAATTGTAAAAAAAAAAAGGGGGTGTATTTGACTTTTCACCCGGAGATTTCTTTAAAAAGGGGGTGTTTTTCTTTTTTTCTCTCAATTCTTTGGACTCCTGATAAATTGTTCCGAATTTAGGGGGGTATATTGAGCATTTTTCCAATGCCTAGGGGGTCTCCAAGGCAGGAAAAGCCCGCAAAAAGCCCGCGAAAGGGGGGTTCGGAAATGTTGGCAGTCCTCAGATAAGGGGTGCTTTCAAAAAGAGGGAACGAGCATACGCGTACCCTAAATAACACTGAGTGGGGGAGGGGGGAGGGGGGCCGGGAATGTATCATGCTCTTCGAATCATGCCCATTGCACACGAGGTCTCATGTGTATTGCGCGAATGAGGCTCAAGAATGCTATTAATACATACGACAGTAATTCAGTGTAATGTTTGCACTATCCAAATAGTCATATGATTAAGCAAATCGTAAGTTCAAAGGATTTCATGCTTACTTGGTAAAGGGAAAGTAAAATTAGCTAAGACTCGTAGTGACGTCAGACCAGTATGCGATTGTCTATATACGATTTGAAGCGGACCCGCTTTCATTCTTACTAGAAGAGTACAATGCACTAATTTAGAAGCTAAATGAAGAAGATGATGTTTGTTTGGATTTTTTTTCTGTTAAATACAAGAGACATTTCTCCGAAAATCACATCGCACGACGATCGTGTAATTTGCGGTAGCCGGTGTTTATAGGATCAAGGTGCCTATATTGTAGAGACCGTCTTGGCGTTTAACTTATTTTAACACTTAGAATGTTCCCTGTAATAAGATTAAACAGATTTAGTTATAATAAAACAAAACCCATAATAAACAAAACAAAAAATAACATATCATTTGAACTTATATAGATTTTTTTTAAAAGACACAAGCATTAAGATAAAAAGATCAGCGAACTATGATAATACAAAACTATTATTAATATCATAGTACAATCGCTGAGTAAAATGCAATAACAAAAAAAAAAACAGGCACTTTTTTCGGGTTTTAGATTAGGTTTAGAGTAAGGGTTGAGGTTACAGTTGGGTTTTAGATTAGTTATAGGATAAGGGTCGGTGTTGCAATTGGGTTTTGGGTTAGGTTTAGGGGTAAGGTTAGGTTTAGTGTCGAGTCCGGAGTTGAAGTTCGGAATTTGCTTAGTGTAGGAAATTAACAAGCAAAATTGTTGAAGGAGCATGTTTAGCATTACATTTACGACCCCACCCTTTTTGTTTTAAAGTAAAATTATCATCTACCGTAGATGGATATATTTTACAAGATAACAGTGATATTGATCTTATTGCTCACAGGAATCTCGACAAAACTATTCTCCTTTGATACATCATCTTTTCTGTTAAACGGATTATTTTGCCAGAATAGTGATAATATGAATATTCACGCGATCATTTCATTTTTGTTAAAGAGTCACCTTATATTCTGTTAGGAAGGTAGTCTATATGTATTTTCAAATCTTTTTCATCGTATTTTTAAATGAAAGAATAAATAATCTTTTCACTTTAAAATCTGTCTAACTTCTGCTCTCGATCGCTTTGCTCTCCCGCAAAATTAAAAAGCAATTTGATAAATGAGCAAGAGTTAATAGCCCCTCCCCCATCGCCTTATCAGCTCAATGAGGCCGTATACGCCTATAGTAATAGATGAAACAAATATTTTAATTGATTATAATTGATTAAACTGTCCGTCCTCTTCCTCCTATAGGTTACGGCAACTTCGCTCCTGTGACCGATGGAGGGCGCATCTTCTGTTCATTCTATGCTTTTATTGGGATACCCCTTACTGGATGGTTTCTTCTAACAGTCGGAGATGCACTCCAGGTATACTGGTCTAAGATACGACAGTACACACATCGCCTCACTGTCAAAATACCGTACGAGTTTGCCCGCCGATGCGGTCACTTTATCATCTATACCATTCTGATCCTCACTATCCTCCTCCTTATTCCCGGCGCCATCTTGATGTTCACTGAAGGCTGGGATTTCCACGTCGCCGTCTATTACTGCTTCATTACGTTTAGCACAATTGGATTTGGCGACCTAGTGGCGGGGGATGTACACCAACACAGTGTAGTCATATGGATTATGAGTATTGCCCATGTGATATTTCTATTGATGGGACTAAGTATCATGTCTATGGCATTGAAAGGGATAGGCAAATCTCAGAAGACGAGTTTCAAACGAGCAAAGATGGTGGTTCGAGTCCTCGTTCTGAAAGCGAGTAGAAATAAAACAAAAGATCACACACCAACTACCCTACCTGTTGACATGAATACATTAAATAAATCCCAAGTTTAAAATCATCACTTCGTCCAATACTTTAAAACTTTTTGATGCAGTATACTGGAGACCTTTCTCCGGATTAGATTTGATCAATATTTTGTGGATTGAGACGGCATCATGGGTCAGCAGATGTTCACTCAGTTGAGTTTTAATCTTTAAAAAGAGAAAAATGTGGAGGTTCGAATCCTGAACAATGCGTTCTGTCCTAGATAAGATATTTTATATGTAGACATCGCTTGCTACCCATGATTGCGAACGAGATGCAGAAAGGGATGCATCAAATGATTTATATACTGACGGTTGCTAAAACAAAGATCATTTGTGTATATATGTGTGTATCATGAGACATGAGGCATTGTCATTAAATGGGTTAAATTTCATCATAGTTCAGCTGAAAGCTATGTAATAGTGGAGGTGTCGTGGTACAGTGGTTCATGCTCTTGACTTCCAGTCCAAGGGCTCATGGTTCGAATCTCAGCCCTGCAATAATAATTGCAGGGCCCTCAGGAAGAACAGAATTATTATTAGCATCATTGTTATTATTATTGTTACTATCATTATTGTTATCATTATCATTATTAGTATCATTATCATTGTTATTTTTATTATAATTATTATTCTCATTGTTATTTTTATTATAATTATTATTCTCATTGTTATTTTTATTATAATTATTATATCATAATGGTGAAGAGTCTGGAACGCCAAACTATGACAATTTTTACCCCAGAAAAGTTGACAAAGAGAACTCTCATGGTCGAAGGCAAATCCTTTTACTGACACTGCCTACGAAGTTATGTGATGTCATGCTTTTTTAAATATCATAGACAATCATGAATAACTTTCCTGTGCGGTATTTGACTCTTTCAAACCTACCTCAATCACACGAGTAATAAAACCAACTGCCGACTTTCGACTACCAACATCAAAGAAGCTGAGGCCAATGGTTACTACTGCCCCCCCCCCCCCCCCCCAGACCCCAAGAATTTGCAAGATTTTCTACCAGACGATTGATTTTGTAACAGGTTGTTGCCGAGTGTTTTTGGACCTTCCGTAGACCTGAACTCTTGTTACCTAATCATACTTAATCAGTGTTTGGGATATGAGGTCAATTAAAATAAACTTGGTAAAAAACAAGCATAGCAACAAACTTATACCCCATGGTGCCGTTTTCACATTCGTTACATCACAAAAATTAAAGTTCATCGTTTAACAGATGCGGCGGCAACAATACCATTTTTTTCTTACTTGAACTTGTTCACACTTAGTAATAATGTTATTTTAACGATAAATCTCGGGTGTTATTACGCCACCCCATTTTTGCACCAAGGTATTTGGTTTTCCATAGGCCTATATACGAAATGACATAACGACACTTTCGCTTTCTTTATATTTCATCTGATTCAGTCTTTTTAAGGGCTATTAAATACAACCATCAACTGTCTGTAGCGTACGGAAGAAAATATGGTTGACCTGCCCTCCTATCATCTCTATATGTTTAACCAAACCAACACCTGGGAATGTATGTATTGCTATTGATGGTCTTAAGTTTATACAATATGCTATAATCATGTAATATGTACATCATTATTATGTAAATATCGAATGTATTTTGTAGTGTATGTTCGCTTCATACATATCTATTTTGTTGTTGTTGTAAATATGACATTGTAAAGTCTTCGGACCATATTTGTTAATTGTGAATAAAAGCAAAATGAAATTGAACTTATGGAATTGATTGATTTTATGAAGTTGATTGATAAGAGACCCAGCAACAAACTAAAGTCCAATATGAAATCACTTCTTTAAAAAAATTCTTTAAAAAAAGGTAAAACAAAAATTGCGAATCGCAAAAAGTATTCTCCGGATAATTATTTTGACCAAGGATATTGAGTATAATTTTGGGGTATTGCGTTTATACGTAGTCACCCGGATAGGAAAATATTAATTATATAATTTGCTGCTCGGTGAAAGTGAAGAGAGAGAGAGAGAGAGAGAGGGGGGATAGAGGTTGATGAAGAGTGAGAGAAAGAGAGAGAGAGAGAGAGAGAAGAAAAAAGGGGAGGGGGTAATGTAAATTCCTTGGGATAGGGTGGGGCGATAATTATTCAATATATTATAAAAGGCAATTAATTCCATACAGATTTAAGGATTGCCAAAAATATGCTGCTTCTTTTAGTTTCTCAAACTAACTTTATACCGCAATATTCCGTTGTAGATGTAAATGATGCTATTAATCTACACTGCTCCAAAGCATTATGGTGAAAAGCAACAAACAACAAACAAACTATCCCACCTTATATTTCCCCTGTTTGTTTGTGCTTTTGTTACTGTCAACATTTCTATTCAGTTACTTTCTTTGAAATAGAATATTCACTGCCAAAGTGATGGAGATGCACTTTGTTGCCCTCTTAAAAAGAGTGTGTTTGAATAAAGATTACATAACTTTCATGAACACGGATCCTATCAGGGTTTGATGGGCTTTACAGTTTTGTACCAAATATCAATGAGGCTTTATCTGCACATAGTTTACGCAGATTGTATATTCGAAGTGGCTTATTGAACCAATGAGGATATTAGCTATAGTATCTCTTTGATTAAACCGTGTTTGTTTTCTCCATCTTTCTCCTTACCCCCGTCTTTCTCTCTCTCTCTCTCTCTCTCTCTCTCTCTCTCTCTCTCTCTCTCTCTCTCTCTCTCTCTCTCTCACACACACACTCTCTTTCTCTCCCTCCCCTCCATCCCGTCTTTTTTCACTCCTTCTCTCTCTCTCTCTCTCTCTCTCCCCTTTTTTTCTTTCTTTCTCCCCTTTCGATCTCTCTCCCCCTCTCTCTCATTTTACATGTATGCATTATACTATTTTCAACACTACATTTCTTTCAAAGAAAAGGTGTGGAATGGATCAGAACAAGTTGATCATGTAGCATGTAAGTATTGGTGTGTACTGCAAGGTTCTGGAGTCATCAACATCATACTAAATTTGGCCCAGTCTTGGTAAAGTAACACGCACTGTGCACAGAAAGATGTATATGGGACTACACAAAATGGTGTCGGGGCTACCTTGATTTCCTTATCTTTGTATGCTCATTACTCAGCCGGTTAAAATTCTTCCAAAATTGTTTAACACATGACATTTATTTGTAATCTTGAACATTCAGTGTAAGTTTTGTTTGATTCTGTGAGAATTCATTTTCTTTTTTTAACCAGAACTAAAGTTTATCTTTAATCTTTTCTTGTTATGTTCATTTTTTTTTTTCATCTTTAAATTTCAGTGAAAAAAATTAAGATGTTTACGATTAGATTGCTGACGTTGAAGGGTGGCATGCAATCGCATGACCAGAACTCACCTTTATCTAGGGTGATTTGATCACTTGAATGACTGTGGGTGGGAAAGCCGTGGGTTCGATCATCGACATGGCACGTATGTCCTTTGGCAAGATATTATTAATCTACCTTATGTCACTCCACGTATCAGGACAATTACCCCCTGGGCAATCACCCCCCGGAAAATTACCCCCCGGAAAACTACCCCCCAAGGACAATTACCCCCTGGAAATTTACCCCCCGGAGAATTACCCCCCGAGGACAATTACCCCCCAAGGACAATTACCCCCGGAAAATTACCCCCCGGAGAATTACCCCCCGAGGACAATTACCCCCCAAGGACAATTACCCCCCGGAAAATTACCCCCCGGAGAATTACCCCCCGAGGACAACTACCCCCGAGGACAATTACCCCCCGAGGACAATTACCCCCGAGGACAACTACCCCGAGGACAATTACCACCCGAGGACAACTACCCCCCGAGGACAATTACCCCCCCCCCCTCGAAACACCATTACCGCGGCCCGAGGACCATCACACCCAGGGAATTTGTAACACTGTGACGTATAATGCGAGCTCCTCTTCAAATTGCTATTTAGAGAAAATGTCATGAACTTTCATTTTCTTAGTTATTTATGACGGAATAGATTTGTTTCGTACAGGGGTTGTGTATAAATTATATTTATATTCGTAGCTCACATTCAAAGCCCTCGTACCCATCTGCCAAATCTTTTTGCTTGACGTACATGTATCCTCCTAGGAGGAGATTTCACCCACCCCTCTCGATCTGTATCCACTATCCATTCCACCTTTGTGAAGTTTGACTTAATATGCCACGTGTATTGAATCAAATTCAATTGCCAGAAGACGCATGTATAAAATCGAATTCAATTGCCAGAAGACGCATGTATCAAATCAAAGTACGGAATTTACATTTCTTAGAAATTTAACAATACATTGCGCGCAGATGAGTACGCGTTAATACAGCTAGTCTCCCCAAAAATGGCCCAACAAAGAAATTAGGATGTAAGATATCATTATTTATGCATCCTCTGTAACTTTTCTAATCAGCTGATCGTATATTTGTCTTTGTATGTATAATGGGCCCTCATCCATGATCTATTCCAAAATTAAGGTTCTCTTCATGTTTATAAATGTAATGTAATATATATATATATATATATATATATATTTCTGTTGTCATGATGAACTAAAATATGTTTTCTTGTACTGTAATTTATTTTGAAATAAAAATTGCCTTCAAGTTAAATATATGGTATGTACGGTGCCATATTAAAAGAAAATAAGTATCCGCACTTGGGTACATTCATCTCAATGATTTTGTAATTCCAGAGCAGCGTTTTTTCAACTGGGGTGCCGCAAGAGAATGTTAGTTACATGAATTTTTTTTGGCAAACGTTGATTTTGTGAAAAACAAATATCAGAAACGGGTAGAGTATTTATTTTCATGAGAAAATAAAATGTAAACAAATAATAAAATGTCTTTCTTCCTTGCTCACTGACAATATTTTGCGAATATATATCTTTTATTTCGACATTACATTGTTACCACACTCATCACAATTATAAACATGATGAATCAAGGCAACGAGAGGCCCGAATATCCTCATATTCGTGTATCAAGGTCATGACCGAATATTTCACTTTATATTCGTGTACATTCGGCGGTGAGGCGCCCGCATACCTTAAATATGTGCTAGTGTGTTGATTACAACATTATCTTTTACCATTTTGAAAATGTCTTGTCCTTGTTTTTCTTGCTCGTTCACTAAATCAAGAAACAAATGTGCCCATACGTGCAGAGGCGGTTCTCTCGGGGGGGGGCAGGGGGGCACAGTGCCCTCCCCCCACTTTTTCAGATACCCCAAAAGTGCCCCTTTTTACATAGGAAAAGTGCCCCTTTTATTTTGTAAGAAGTGCCCCTTTTACATAGGAAAAGTGCCCCTTTTACTTTGACAAGTGCCCCTATTACTAAATAAAAGTGCCCCTTCCCCCTTTTCACCTCTGACGAGTGCCCTTTTTATTTTTGACACGTGCCCCTTTTCCTTCGACATGTTCCCATTTTCCTTTGCAATACGTGTCCATTTTCCATTCTCATTAATCTTGAAATTATCTTTAATAAGTGCCCTTTTTAATCTCTAGTAAGTGCCTCTTTTCAGGTACGAGAAGTGCCCCTTTTCACTTTTGATAAGTGCCCCCTTCACCTCTGATAATTGCCCTATTCAAAACTGAGAGGTGCTCCTTTTACTTTGACAACTGCTCCTTTTTTCCTTTGTAAGAAGTGCCCCTTCTCCTTTTAATAACTACCCCTTTTTTAAACTCGGATGAGCACACCTTTAATTTTAACATGTGCCCCTTTTTTTCTTCTAATAAGTGCCCCTTTTCCTTATGATAAGTGCCCCCATTAAAAAGAGAGAGCTCCTTCCCCTTCTCATAACTACCGCTTTCCCTTTCTAATAAGTGCCCCTTTTCCTTATGATAAGTGCCCCCATTAAAAAGAAAAAGCTCCCTCCCCTTCTCATAACGGCCCTTTTTTAAAATTTGAACGGTGCCCCCTTTTCATTCAACAAATGCACATTTTCCTTTATTATAAGTGCCCCTTTTACATTTTCATAAGTGCCCCTTTTCATATCTGGTCAGTGCCTCTTTTCACCTCTGATAATTCCCTTTTTAATAATGATACGTGCCCATTTTCCTTTCTAATAAGGGACCTGTCCCCTTTTCACCTCTTATAAATGCCCCTATCAAAATCTGATGGGTGCCCTTTTTCCGTCAACAAATGCCTATTTCCCATTTTCGTAAACGCCTCTTTTTCATCAGGTGAGTGCCTCTTTTCAGGTGAAAAAAATGCCTCATGTTCACCTCTTATAATTATCCTTTGTACTTTGACACGTGCTCCTTTTCTTTTCTAATAAGTGTCTTATCCCTTTCGATAATTGTCCCCTTTTCATGAAATCATTAAACATGCCCCTTATTTAAAGCGACTAAGAGCAATTTCCCCCAAAGTTCGCTCGCTGCGCTCGCTCGCATTTAAAGATGATATAATTATGTTAGTTATCAAAGGTCTTTTCAGTCTTCCGTTAAGAGAATGTGCTTATAACCCCATCACGATTGGCTTTTTTCCTCTTTATAAGATGTAATTTTTCGCACTGCGACCTCGCAGATCTTTAAAATTTTTCTCGCTCGCTTCGCTCGCTCGTAAATGCATATTCAGACATCCCACCCAACTGTAAAGTATGATGCTTAAGCGATATCTTGTATGATGTATGAAGAGAAACAAATATTGAAATCATCCCTGATAATGTAATCACAATGCAGGGGTATGTACCAATGTCTAAAAAATTGTATATTTTCGCTTTGAGATTTCCCACTGTAGGTGCCCTTTTTTCTTCAGAAAGTGCCCTTTTTTGTTGGTGCCCCCCCACTTTGGAAGTCGCTCGACCGCCCCTGCATACGTGTGTACATAGCACTTGACGAGTGCCAGAGTGATGCAAAATAAATAGTTTGTGAAGAATTTAAGATTGGGCGAAACTTTTCATTTCTTAAGAGGGCATCGTGTCGAACAAAATGTTGAAATAACGCTGCACAAGAGAAATCCTTCGTAGAAAACAGCAACCACAGTGTTGTTGCATAGATTATAGTTAAAGAAAAATGTGTAGTAATGAGGAAGATCACGCGCAAGTATTTGAACGAATGTGGGTTCATGCACGGGATTTTATGGGCTCGTAGCCTTCACAGCATCTCTCAACGTGACAGATCGTCTTTTGCTATTGAATCCTGATTGTCCCCGGGGGGGGGGGGGGGGGGTAATTGTCCTCGGGGGTAGTTGTCCTCGGGGGGTAATTTCCCGGGGGGTAGTTTTCCGGGGGGTAATTATCCTTTGGGGGGGGGGTAATTGTCCTCGGGGGGTAATTCTCCGGGGGTAATTTTCCGGGGGTAATTGTCCTTTGGGGGGGGGTAATTGTCCTCGGGGGGTAATTCTCCGGGGGTAATTTTCCGGGGGGTAATTGTCCTTAGGGGGTTATTGTCCTCGGGGGGTAATTCTCCGGGGGTAATTCTCCGGGGGTAATTGTCCTTGGGGGGTAGTTTTCCGGGGGGTAACTTTCCGGGGGTGATTGCCCAGGGGGTAATTGTCCTAGAACCGTCACTCCATACTCAGAAGAGGAATGAGTCTTAAAGGTAATACAAAGTTTTGGTATGGGGTCATGAATTTGGTTCAAATGAACATATTGGAAGCATATGCGATCCTACAATATTCACTGATCGTTGTCGCGGTCGAAATCGACTCTAAAGTTATGGAATTGTTAATATAAACACTTTATGTTGTATAGCTCCCTCTCAAGGTCAAGATATTAATTAAGCTATAAAACAATGTTTCTTGACTAAAATCGGCCGATTTGCTATTCCCGTTCGGTAATTATATACCACAACTATATATTCTGAGATTTCCATGGTTGCAGATGCCATTGTACGGCCGTAAGAGCTATTTGAAATTTAATAACATTTACCGAGATGCACCGGTAAATCTTTATATTCAATTTTTCTCGAAAGCAGAAGTGTTTTAGGGGCTAAAATTTCTAGTGCTTTCAATACATCCACTGCAGGGGCATCGAAATATATCAACATTGTAAAGATTCACTATCCACCCATTTTTCAAAATTTCCCAAAACTTTGTAATTCCTTTAATTGGCAGGACCACGAAAGCTATTAAGATTTAATTTACCACTCGTTTGCTGAGAAACAGAAGGGAGAAACCTGTGTGGCAAACTGTATTAATATGTCAAATGATCATTAAGGAGGGCCGAGGAATGACCACTTTTTTTAAATGTCAACATGACAGATTCAACCCCTGACATTTTAGAGTTGGTTCCACCATGTTCAAAGGGTTAATCTATCTTTTTTAAGGAAAAAAGATGGCCCTTTTATTTTTTAGAGTAACCAGATGCCCTTCTAGCGCTCAAAAATGTAGGCATAGTTATATGCAATGACGGTAACTTATATGACATTAGTGGAGATATTATGAATGGTTTAATAGACTCTTGTACTAATATCTGTCACGAGGTAACTATCCCCCTTTTTTTTTTCTTCTTCTTCTTCTATATTATAATCGTCATCGTCATCAACATTACCACCGATGTCGTCATCGTTGTCATCATCATTATCATCACCTTCTTCTTCTTTATTCCTTTACAACTGTCTTCTTATTACTATCAGAATCAACCTAAACATTTCCTCCGCGAATTACGACATTCTTGTAAGCCTGAAGTAATACAAGTAATACATGTATATTGTGTAAAACGTTTATCAGCCCCCCCCCCCCCCCAAAAAAAAAAAATAAATAAATAAATAAATAAAGTTTTTGTGCGATTGGCGATTGTTTCCATCCTTATAAGCCGCATCATCATTAATCGTTGGGGGCCGCTGAGCGAACCTTTATTCGGGGAAGGAGTTGAAAATTCAATTCCTTTAAATTTAGCCTCTTTTGAGATTAAATAATCTCTGTTGGCTCCTTTCCCATCTTTAACATATATTTTTACTTCCAATGAAATAACGTATAGGTGATAAATAATCGTACGAATATTGAATGTCCAAGTATACATTTAATAAAGTTTTCCATGACAACCAAAGTAATGACATTTATGTTAGCTATTAATTGTTTAGCTCCCCATGAATCGATGTCTAGATGCGAATGACATATTCTCTTAGAGGGGTACCAAACTTCGTGTCTGAAATATCTCAAACAAGCCAAAAACTCTTTTTCCCGATTTTGTTACGGGACCACATGAACACAATTTATTTGGGTTTGTGATAGGGGTACGTGCCACCGGGCCCCTTCCCCTGGATCCGTCACGGAATCCCACATACACGATAATGCTTTCATTCGCTCACAGACATTTATGGAATTGTTTTATTGTCTTTATTCTCTTCTCTGTCCGGTTGCATCCTGCCTCCTTCAAACCGCCTGCTTATTCGACGTAGTGCTTCACTAGTGTCTTCATTATAATCTACACTCCGTCTGATCCTCGACCACAGATCCGACACTGACCTGCGCCCCATCGATCCACTGTGTTCATTGATCTCTTCACCACTGTGTTCATTGATCTCCTCGCCACCGTGTTCATTGATCTCCTCGCCACCATGTTCATCGATCTCGTCATTTCTTTGGAACTGATGTTGTAGGCGCATCCAAAAGGTTGAGTGCTCTACTGTACTTGAGATGTTAGAGGCGACGCTAGCCTGCTTTCTTATTAGAGTGTTTAATACCATTGAGATCATACCGAGACAGATGATGACATACATATACAACAGGCACTGCAGATTCAAGACAAAGAAAAAGATAAATACCGTTATAATCAATTTAACTCATAATCAGCCCCCCCCCCCCAGCCCCGCGCATGAAAAATCAACAACACAACATTTACAACGACAAGACGTTATTTAAGGAAGACAAATATTTCTTATTGACGATATTTTGGTAAATTTGAAAAGCATTTCTTTGCCATCCAAACACAATCGTTTAAAAGGCGACTGAGATGAGAGGTGGTCTGGAGGTCAGCTTTTTACCGTCAACCATAACCAAACTCAGTTCAAAACCGGAAAGCGGATCTCGTCTATAAGGATGATGATGCACTATAGACTTTTAGATTGAGTGGACGAGAACACGACGAATGCCGACTGATCATGCGTGTTAACGTACTCAATTGCCCATGTTGACTACAATTAGAAATCTTTTAGATTGCACTCGACGATATTCATGCATGCAGGAAGTAACACTATGAACATGACGGACAAAGAAAGAGGACAAAATATACAATTCCTCATTCTACCCTCAACAATTGCTGTGGTAGACAAAAGAACATCCCTTCACTGCTATTATGTAAAAATGTGTAGAACAGGTGAATATGCATGTGACACCTGTTCTACACATTAATAGCAGGGAAGGGATGTTCCTTTGTCTACCTGAGGAACTGTATATTTTATGCGCACGCGGCATACTAGTACCGTACTAGATTTAGGAAAATCAAGATTGACGTATTCTCGATCGCCGACTGAGACGACGTGACGCATGCGCAGTGCCTTAAAATGACGTCACACGTTGCAGTCAAAGCTGTCGACGTGCAAATCTAAAAGTCCCTATACTAAGTCCAACCCTGCTTCGCACGCGTCTGAAAAAACACCTATATAACTAACAAACTAAAAAATAAAAAAAACTTAACTAAACTAAACTAAACTAAACTAATAAACACATATTATCTTACCCCGATAAACATTTTTAATGGAGCATGCATCCCTCTATCCTCCTCTGGAACTAGATCACCAAGACCAATAGTTGACAATGAGATAACGGAGAAATAATGGCCGGCGATAAACGACAATCCCTGTGAGTACATTATGGCACTCGGAAGCGAGCCTATCATGACGTAGGCGACAACGAGGCTCTTGACGATCAGGAAAAGTTTCTGGACTCGCGGGTTGGATGGGATGAGACAACTAAAGAATTTCTTGATGACTTGAAAAAGGCGGGAAGAAAGAAATTGGAGGATTTCGCCTACTGTAAAGAGAAGGGCAGCCATCACTGGTATCCCGAAGACGGCATAAAGGACGCAGAAGATCTCACCAAGCATGGTCCGAGGTGCAAGGTTCCCATAACCTGTGCATGGATCGCAGGATTGAGAGAAGAATTATTTAAAGGAAAGAATTAGATGTGAAGAACAAATGTGACACAAGATAGAGAATGCCAAACGAAATTGCCAGCGATCTATTAAAAGGGAAATTATGTATATAAGCACAATTATGTATTTGGCAATATTTAAAAGGAAAGGGACAATGATAACTATATCCATTAAAAAAAAGATTTCTTATTGTCTTGTATTTTATTGGTTTATTGTTTACTATAAAGAAAACATTCAGAGAAAAATAAAAATTATTAAATTTTACAAAGCACAATAGGAAGCATAATTGTATGAAGAATATGTAAGGGTACATTTACGGCCAATACTTTATAGATTAACATTGGAAACCCATCAAAAATGTATCATTGATAATTTTGTCAAAAAATGTTCTTAATTGGTTTGCCGTGCGATCATGCATAATGTGCTGATGAAATAAGTATAGTAAATAGGAGTAATGGGGCACAACATTCTTTTACCAAATGAAATCACACATTCTCATCAATAGTTTTCTTCTGCAGATCGAACTTGAGTAGTAAATGGTCAATTCCGGCGTAATGGACATGCTTTTCTGACCAATTTTTGGTCATTCAAAATTGTTTAAAATGAAATCAAGAGTCTAACAACGAATTTTACTACATGGATCAGACTCATCAGACTATCTGGACATACCCAGCAAATTTTGTGTCGATGTCAACTGTATACAGACCTATAGACGTCAAATTGAGAAAGCAAAACCCATTTTATCTTACCTATTGTGGTCACAACTGTGAACGAAAAAGTAAAACTGTTGTAAAGTGACCATTGATCCTCTAAATACGAATCGTTTTTCAGATCCAATGTTGCTGCATACGGATGACTCTTATCATATGAACCTTCTGAGATGGATCGAGTCACTATGTCCATTAAGTCATTGACAGTGTCATCGTCGACGCAGTCGTTCTCATTTGCTAATTTGAGAAGGAAGTTTTCAAATCGCTTTGCGGCTCGGCGAGATGATGGTTTCTCCAGGGCGTTGAAGACTGCAGCCCCTGCAAAGAGATACCCGATGAGTATTATCAAGATGATCAAAGATTTGAACCAGTATATTGTGGAGGGTGACGCAGATAAGTCACTCTCCTCTTCCATGGCATTGCCATTGTTATGAGGTCGTTCTCTAGTCATGGTTCTCTTGTTCCATTTCCATATTTCAGTAAATGAAAAATGTTGTGGTGCATTCCAAAACACTTCTCACAGGCGTCCGTGCTTTTCCATGCAGACAGAGGCGTCAATGTTAACCCATTTACATGATAACTTAGAGCACCAGGCCTGCTTTTGTCGCAAATTTCCGTATAAATCAAGTTTGAAGAAAAAAAAACTGACACCATAGGTCACTAAACAAAATGGAGATGACTTGACCATGAAACATATAAAATATGTGCCGGCCACATAATCATTACCAGAGGAGTCTTTCTTCATATACAAGGCCAGTATCGATTATCATCAGACTTAGAACGGCTTATCGTCTTATACACCACCGTTTTGCAAAGAAAAATTGTTGGAAACGTGACCGGATACCTTCTGGCGTATTTTTGCGGGTATATTAATGGATGACAAATATTATTACCATAGACAACGAAATTATTCATATCCATTGTAAATTAAAGGGTTTTTCTTTCTTCGTAACTCATGAATGTAAGGTGGACTGGTTGATTTAGGGCCGTGGTTAAATTCTTTCAGCAGTAAGCTTTATATATGAATCAAACACATTTGACTCTCGGGGATATACCCAGTAAATTTCGTCTGTATTCTGTATTTTGTATTCTTTCTTCCTATCCATGAAACAGAAGTAATTGATATTGTGTCGAATATGGATCCCAAAAAAGAGCGCAGGATATGACGACATTTCAAATTTTATTCTTAAAAAAAGTCATTCATGAAATATTTTCCCCTTTAACTCATATTTTTAAGATATCTTTGCTGAATGGTATTGTCCCTTGTAAAAAGAAAGTTGTGAAGGTTATCCCAAATTTTCAAAAAAGGCAATAAAGAGGAGAAAGGAAATTATCGACCGATTTCTTTGTTTTAAAATTACCTGAACAAATTGTATATTATACTCGCACCATTAAATTCTTTATTGATTGCAATATTTTGCAAATTACCAGTGCGGTTTCCGACAAAAACATTCAAAACACGCTATTTTTTATTATTGATTGATAAAGTAGCCAAGGCAATTGATAATAAGTCACACACGGTTGGTATTTTTCTTGACTTCTCGAAGGCCTTTGACACTATTAATCACGACACTTTATTATATAAACTTGCCTATTATGGCATTCGAGGAAGGGCCTTAATAAGAGTTGTTCAGAAATTGCCTTACCAACAGAATCCAATTTGTTTCTATTAACGATTGGAACTCAAGTATTGAATCAATAACTTGCGGGGTACGACAAGGCTCTCTTTTGGGCCCGCTTCGTTTAGTATCTATATAAATGAAAACTCATCTATGTGGTTCTTTCGTTTCTACACTTTTCAGATGACTCTACCATTTTCTGCTCTAATCCCAACCCTAGAATCATTCTTGATTTCCTGAATTTTTAATTGCAATTTGTAGTTGAATGGATACATGGAAACAAATTTGTCCCTGAATTTGAATAAGACTAATTTTATGATTTTCAGCAATACACTGTCTGAGCTACCAGGACAAGTTATGGTTAATGGCTTACCCTTAACCAGTATACATTCCACCCAATATCCTAGTCTTTTTATTGACTGTAACATTTACCCTTTTTGTTTTCTCCAAGTAATCGTATACAGCTGACCTTTCGTGTAATTATATCCTTGAATTAATTACTCTTAATGTTTCGTTCAACGGTGCTTTGGAAACTAATTTGCTCGGGTGACTACGCATTTTGAACAGGTGACTCTGGGTATAGGTGCTTATGCATAATTATCTTGGATAATTATGTAAACAATTTTCCTTATTCCATTGTGTTTTAAATTCCCCCTCTAAATTACGTCTTTCTCTACTGCTATACAGTTTTTCATGTACAATGTCTATTTTATCAGGAGCCGATAAAATACAAGCACTGCTTTTCAATAGGTTCCTCACATTCTACTTAATCTTTCATATGAATGGAGTATCATTGAGACGTACTCATTTATATAATGTATATCGTTCGTATTTTATATATTTTTCTATATCTTTTGTAAAATGTGGACTAAATAAACTTGAAACTTGAAAATAAAGTGTTAGATTCTCGACAAACATAAATTGGATCAAATTAATTTTAAACTGAAAAGATTACAAACTTGGTATGGGTATGAACAGGCGCGTACGCAGGGGGGTGTTTGGGGGGGTTAAACCCCCCCCCCCCCCCTTTGGTATTTTTATGTATGTAAACCCCCCTAAAAAATCCCTAAAATCCCCCCCCCTTTTTTTTTTTTTTTTTTTTTTTTTTTAATTATTAAAAAAAAAAAAATTACCCCCATGGCCGACCTAAAATCGTTGCGATTTTTTTGGGGCTCCAAAAAAAAAAAAAGTGACCGCTTACCCCCCCCCCCCCCCCCCACTGAGCGACTTTTTGGCCGGCGCGATTTTCAAATTTTCCTGAGTCGTTGCGAAATTTTGGACCCGATTTTAAACCCCCCCCCCCCCCTTGAAAAAATCCTGCGTACGCCACTGGGTATGAATAATTTAGTCGTTAAATGTATGTCTGTGGAGCCATTGTGAAATCAATATGGGCTCCAGCATGTGTGTTTTAAGGCATCCCACTACGCAGCTTATGACCTGACTATACCAGTAGATTATAAATTTGGGGTTCTATATATATTGTCATGAATGTAAGGACTATTAAAAAAAGGAGTATTTCAAGCATTTTGATATAACATGAGGAAAGGCCAGATCGGCTCCGGTCCTAGCGCATGCTGTCTCCCAAAAGCCTGGGTTGATACGTACAAACCAGGGCCGTATAAATGCCGCCGAGCAGATAATACCAAACTTGGAAAATGCTGGGTTATATTTAAAAAACAATTATTATAACCAAAATATAGATACTATTGAGTAAACAAATGATGATCCACCTAGAGGAATAGAAGGGGACCATTTGAGTGATTGAAGTGGTTTATAGTTAGAGTGGCGTATAGTTATTGGTTGCCCCCTAATTATCAGCGAAAAAAAAAGAGAACAAGAATAGAAAAAAGGAAGGAGGGGAAAGGGAACGTGAAAAGAAGATGATATGACCTCCTCCCTTAGTCCTCCAAAAAGGCCTTAGTTATTAGTTTGTAGTTCATCTACGAATCAGGCGCGGATCCAGGGGGGGGCCGAGCGGGCCTTGGCCCCCCCCCCCCCCCGGCAAAAAAAAAAAAAAAAAAAAAGAGAGAAGAAAGGAAAAGAAGGGAAAGGGAAAGAGGAGAGAAAGGGAAAGAAAGAAGAGGAAGAAGAAAAGAAAAGGGAGAAGAAGGAGATCGGGGGGGGGGGCGAAAGGGCCTTGCCTCCCAGGCTGTTGCCCCCCCCCCCCCAATCAACAAAATAATAGAGAAGGAAGGAAAGGGAAAGAAAAAAGGAAAATAGGAGATACTGGCGTACTGATAGAGAGAGGGGGGGGGGGGGGCTTGGGGGAAATCAAATTCAAACGTGTTTTATTTCTAATTCCATAATTGTGGATTACAAATAATGCTGAAATGACATAATTTCCGAGATTTTTCCTCACTTTTTAGTAAATTATACTTTTTTATGCGTTTGTTGGAAAATGACAAAATGACAAATGATAAATTTACAGCCAGGCAAGAAATATGATTCTTGAGATTCCTACATGTCAGGGCCCAAGGAACGGCGGGAATCGGGAGCCTCGAGCCCCCCCCCCCCCCACACTTTAACAAAAAAAAAGTATATTAAAGAGAAATAAAAAAAAAGAAAGAAAGAGAGCAACAAAGAAAGAATAGTTAACTGCCAGTGTTAACAAATAAAGAGGCATCAAAATATGATCATCTGACCGTGATTAAATGCCTAAAACCCCTAAGCTTCCGGGGGATCTACCCCCTGGATTCCACCTAGGGCCCTAAGGTGGGCCCTTCGATGCTCATCTGACGGTTATTTAATGCCTAAAACCCCTGATTGTGGGGGGCTCCGCCCCCTGGATCCCACGCCAAATAGTGTCCTGCCAGTGACACAAAATAATAAGGATTATAACAAAATGCTCATCTGACCGTAAATAAACGCCTAAAACCCCTGAGCTTCCGGGGCTCTGCCCCCAGGATTCCACCTTGGGCCCTAAGACGGGCCCTTCGATGCTCAGTTGACGGTAATTTAATGCCTAAAACCCCTGATTTTGGGGGCTTTGTCCCCTTGACCCCACGCCTAAGTGTCCTGCCAGTGTGACTAAATAATAAGGATTATAAAAAATGCTCATCTGACCGTAATTAAACGCCTAAAAACCCCGAGCTTCCGGGGGCTCCACCGCCTCGACCCCACCAGGGGCCCTAAGGCGGGCCCCTGAATGCTTGTCTGACCGTAATTTATTGCCTTAAACGTCTGAGCTTCCAGGGTCGGACAAGGTATCAAAATGTGTTAATCTGACCGCAGGCGCGTAGCCAGGGGGGCGGTGGGTGCGGTGGGGGCGGTGGGGGCGGTACCCAAACAATAACCGCCCCCCCCCCCTAAAAAAGAAGAGGAGAGAAAAGAAAGAGGACGTAGAAAGGAGCAGACAAAGAACATCTTTAAAATTCAGACAAAGATTAGTGTAGAGAACGGTACAACGCATCGTCTTCTTTCTCTAATAATTTAATGAAACGTAAAAGCCCCCGCGCTTCGCGCGGGAGGGGGGAAACTGAACTCGGACGAGGATTAAGCATCGAGAACGGTACAACGAATCGTCTTGTTTCTCTAAAGATTTTAAGAAATGTAAAAGCTTCCGCGCTTCGCGCAGGAGGGGGGGGGGTGGGACTGAATTTAGACAAGAATTAAGAGTCGAGAACGGTACAACGAATTGTCTTCTTTCTCTAATGATTTAATGAATCGTAAAAGCTTCCGCGCTACGCGCAGGAGGGGGGGGTAACTGAATTCAGACGAGGATTATTTTCGAGAACGGTACAACGAATCGTCTTCTTTCTCTAATAATTTAATGAAACGTCAAAGCTTCCGCGCTTCGCGCAGGAGGGGTTGGGGGTTGGGACTACATTTAGACAAGAATTAAGAGTCGAGAACGGTACAACGAATCGTCTTCTTTCACTAATGATTTAATGAATCGTAAAAGATTTCGCGCTTCGCGCGGGAGGGGGAAAACTGAATTCAGACGAGGATTAAGAGTCGAGAAATGTACAACGAATCGTCTTGTTTCTCTAATGATTTAATGAAACGTAAAAGCTTCCGCGCTTCGCGCGGGAGGGGGTAACCTGTATTCAGACGAGGATTAAGAGTCGAGAACTGTACCACGAATCGTCTTCTTTCTCTAATGATTTAATGAATCGTAAAAGCTTCCGCGCTTCGCGCAGGAGGGGCCGGGGGGGGGGCGGTGAAGAAGAGGAGAGAAAAGAAAGAGGACGTAGAAAGGAGCAGACAAAGAACATCTTTAAAATTCAGACAAAGATTAGTGTAGAGAACGGTACAACGCATCGTCTTCTTTCTCTAATAATTTAATGAAACGTAAAAGCCCCCGCGCTTCGCGCGGGAGGGGGGAAACTGAACTCGGACGAGGATTAAGCATCGAGAACGGTACAACGAATCGTCTTGTTTCTCTAAAGATTTTAAGAAATGTAAAAGCTTCCGCGCTTCGCGCAGGAGGGGGGGGGGTGGGACTGAATTTAGACAAGAATTAAGAGTCGAGAACGGTACAACGAATTGTCTTCTTTCTCTAATGATTTAATGAATCGTAAAAGCTTCCGCGCTACGCGCAGGAGGGGGGGTAACTGAATTCAGACGAGGATTATTTTCGAGAACGGTACAACGAATCGTCTTCTTTCTCTAATAATTTAATGAAACGTCAAAGCTTCCGCGCTTCGCGCAGGAGGGGTTGGGGGTTGTGACTACATTTAGACAAGAATTAAGAGTCGAGAACGGTACAACGAATCGTCTTCTTTCACTAATGATTTAATGAATCGTAAAAGATTTCGCGCTTCGCGCGGGAGGGGGAAAACTGAATTCAGACGAGGATTAAG